CTTTACATTAGAAATAGGAACAAATAATAACCCATGAACCCATACAAAAGATAATCATATTTCTCAGTGAATTGTCAAAAATATTCCTCCATAATGACAATTCACACTCAAAACAGCAGTTGTAAAAACAAGACAGAAATTTCAGGTGATTAAAATTAAGAACCTTCTGCCAATTTTGGCCGAAATTAAAGACTTTTAAGAACCAAAAATTGAATCGAAAAAGCCTAAGGACTTTTAAGGACCGTACAAAACCTGGTAAAGTAAGGTTTTGTTTGAATTTGGTCAACAAATTACTAACTTAGATAGCATTGTTGCTGCAATAGTACGCTACCAAATAAACATTTTTGAATTCAAATGGAAATTTCAGACATATACAGATGGAGGACAAAATAATGCGAATACCTGTGAAAAAGTATGATGTATTTCCCACCTGCAACAGAAGTCTGCCACCTAGTGAATGTGAAAAGGAAGGTGTCAGTCTTTCAACAGCAGTCACTTGCGTTGCATGCTTTGATAGAACTGTCTGTGAGAAGTTGAAATGTCAGACCTGTCAGAGTTCCAAAGAGGAATGATACTTGGAGCGCATTTAAGTGAAACATTGGTTACGGAAACAGCAAACATTGTGGGGTGAGCAAGGAGAATGGTATTAGCCATTATGACAGCGTACACAAAAGAGGGTAAGACGATGTCTTCACAACAGTGGCCGAAGCTGGCTGATAGGGATAGATGGGTCTTGAAGCGCATAGTAGCCCGAAAGCACAAGCAATTGTTATCCGAGATAACATCCAAAATGAACGATCATCTCAAGGAACCCATTTCAACAAAAACTGTCACAAGGGAACGAACTTCATGCTGCGAACATTTATGGCAGAGTGGCAATGCGTAAACCCTTCGTGACAGCAACTAATGCTTTCAAGCAACGCTAGTGGTGCAGAGATCACAAAGGCTGGCCCCCCACTGCAGTGGCAATAGGTAATATGGTCAGATGAATCGTCATTTCCCCCATTTAAGATGACCGGACGTGTTTATATCTCAAAAACGCACAAAGAAGCGTTTCATGCTGACTGTGAAGCAAGGGGATGGCGACATTATTGTATGGGGTGTGATATCTTGGTGCGGTCTTGGGCCACTTGTTATTCTGCATGGGAGGATCACATCCAATCACTATCTATGCATTCCAGGGGATCATGTCCATCCTTTTGTCCAGACTGTATTCCCTGGAGAGTGACCGCTTTTTCAAGACGACAACGCCCATTCCACACTGTAGGTGTATTCAAGAATGGTTCGAATCCATGACGCTTGGCCCCCTCAGTCTCCGGGGGCGCTGTCTCAAAACGACAGGCCCCTATCCACACTGGTAGGTGTATTCAAGAATGTTTCAAAGAGCATGAAGATGCAATTGAACATCTCGCTTGGCACCCTTAGTCTCTGGACTTGAATATTATTGAAGATTTATGGGCATATTTGGAATCCAAATTCGTTCTCGATTTCCACCTCCATCCAGACTTTCGGAATTAGAGACTGCTTTGCAGAAGGAATGGCTTAATATTCCTATAAATATTGTCCATGACCTTTATGTGCATCTATCTCACGTCGCATTCAGTCTGTACTTCAGTCAAAGGGTGGTTCAACACCCTATTAATAAAGATTTTCCATTATTTCACAGGTGTTCATATTATTTTGTCCTCCATCTGTATATATATTTTAATTTATGGCTTACTATTTATTAAAAAAAATATGCATGCAATCTTAAGTTTTGCATAATAACAGTTAGTAAAAATGATGATTGGCAAACTAAATGCTCTGTACAATCAGTCACTATTAAAAATTAATTTATTCTAGACTGAGCTAAATAAAGTAAAATGTTGAATTTCATATTTGCATGCTAATTCCCTTCTCAGAATTAACATACACATGTAAAATTAAACAAAAATCAGTCTTCGACTGGATTTCTCCATTCTTTTCTCCTAGAAAAGAATGTTGAGTATTTGGTGAAATAAGCTAATACATACAACAACTTATACGCATTATGTTCCATAGGTGAAAAACATTTTTATTAGATTGATAAAGTGATAAAGATTTAATAACTTATTTTCATTTAGCAAAAACTTCCAAACATACTTCCTCACAAAATAAATCTGAGCATGTAAATTAGTAAAAACTACAATACTGGAAAAGCCCACCAGCGGCCGAGCGGTAAAGTTGCTGAACACTGGTAGTTCGGTCCGAGATTCGAATCCCACGAATGGGCTGGCTGCATGCGTGTTTTCATGGTTTTCTCCATGTGTAACGTGTATACGAGCCAGTTTCCCTTAGAAAGTCCTTCACAAAGGCATCCCTCCTCTTAGGCAGATCGCCCTCGAGGCTTTGCCGTAATTAAATAACATAACCTAACCAATACTGAAAAAATTAATTGATTAATTAGATAAATTAAAATTAATAAAAAAATTAAATAAGTTATATCTTCAGAAAATGTTAGTCATGCAATTTTTAAGCTTTGCTTTCATGTAGGCAGCAAGACATCTATGCCTAGCAAAAGTAATAAAGGCATATATCAAAATGATAATACAGTCAAAAGTCTTTAATCCAAACGTCCATAATCCGGACCTCAAAGCTACAAAGTTTCTGCACATGCATTAATGGATAATGCGTTTACGCATTTGCATATGCATTTACGCATGTGCATAATACCTTTACTAAAGCTAAGCTAAAATTACTTAAGCTAAGCTAAAATTATCTATTTCAGTTAATGTTGCAGATTGCATTGTTCCTTAATCTTCTAATTGGATCCAGTTTATTATTTTTTGCAGACTGTTAGAGCAATTTTATAAAAGTAAGCTTGAACTTTCGATTATGTCGAAAAGAATTTCTGATTCTGGAGCTGCCAAAGGATCTACAAAGCAAAAGCATGTTTCGATGTCCATCAAACAAAAAGTGAAATTGCTGTAAAAAATGGATAAAGGTATATCCTTTGTTTCTCTAACCATTCTGAAATCTGTTTATCAATTTCACGCTGCTCTGGGGAGAAGGGGGGTGCCACGGTGGGCAATGAACTGGAAGTTGATCTGTCAGCACTATCCTTCAGAGCAGATGTTTTTATTTTATTCAGCTTATAATTCCTTACTAAATGTAGTATTTTATCTTGATGTACTCCGTCTTTGATATGATTTAAATCAAATTCCTCGTCATAAATATCATGAATACACATCAAATAGTTTTCTGGTTGCAATTCTAATTTCGACTATGTGTAATGTTGCTTTACGCATGCGCACATTGGAAAGAAATGTTTAATAAGTAAACAAATACATATTAGCTTTTTTTGTAAATTTTGATACCCTTTAGATCAGAATTGCTCTTTATTTCATAAATTATGGTTTCATATTTTTAATTTTATAATTTCTGCATACCATCTTACCAGATTTAAACTGATGATCTATAATCTGGAAAAATCGATAATCCGGAATCGCCGAAGTCCCGACGAGTCCGGATTAAAGACGTTTGACTGTATATATTTTAGTTTTGAACATTTCAGAATGCCTGCTGAACTTCATTTAATTCACTTGAATATATCTCAGAATTTTCATTAATTATGATTCAGTAAAATGAGGTTTAGCTATGGTAATTATGTTTACATGTTATTGAATTCTAGTATCACGTTATTTGCTCATTTACTCCTAAAACAAACATATTCTAATTATACTTTTTAACATTTAAATATTATGGATAATTTAAACAATAATTGCTATATTTAGCAATCGTTTTCGTAAATTATATTCTTCATTTGTATAACAGGATGAATTTGAAGAAATTAACAAATTTGAGAGTAAAATTACATCCATAGCAAGTTACAAGCTGCTTTGAAAATAAGCTGAAACTGAATTTTAAAAGATCCATAAGGTGTATTAGAAGACTTAATATTAGAAGAAACATTAAATCACTCAGCATACTAATTAAAAAATAATGTCAAAGTGCCACATGCTGGGGTTCCTAGGCAAATATACACTTTCATACAGACTTGTTTGTAGCTTGTCTCTGCAATGTTAAATTGAGAAATGGAGGGAAGACAGATAAATAAAATTTAAAAAATCTCTTTAAAAGAAAAGAAAATTTAGAATAAAGGTTAATGATCATGCATTTCTTGATATAGATATTTAATCCAATTTAAAGTACTAGCAATTACGGAAAGGAAATGCTTTTCTTAGTGAGCTTGCAGAAGTCTTAGAACATACTGCTTTACCATTTAGTTCATAAACTAAAAGAGGCTTAAAAAGTTAAATTCTGTTATATTCGTAAAAATTATTTTATTCTAATATTTGATTAAATAACATTCTCCTCATTTTTTAATACTGAAACACACATATAATTAGTCTATGTAACATTAAAAACAACTTTTGAGGAACTTCATGGTCATATTTTTCATTTTAACATACACACAAAATAAATAAATAGGTAAAATTTTCAAATTTTTCATTGAAACTTTGCAACCAGCCACTTAATCAGAAAGCAGAGCCTAATAAAACAAACAAATAAAATAGTTATAAAAAATGTAAATATATTTTTGACACAAAAAAAAAAAGGCATTGAGTCAAATACTCAATTGTAGGCTTATATCAGTTTGGGCTTTTATCTGTTTGTGCTTTCATACGTGTGGGTATTTGTTAGATGGGCAATTAGGGCAGGGAGCTTTTCTGGCATACATTTTCATCCAGTGGGTGGGAAATTCAGTTCTCACATGCACTTTTGCCCAGTGGGTAGAAACTGTTAATCAGGGAATCATTAATTCCTTAGCAGCTCTAACAATCATTATTTAGGGTGTTATCTCAGAACTTAAACAAGTTCTGAGATATGTTCATATGCAGCATATATGCTGTATAAACAAAACAAATGAAAATGAAATTCATGTAGAATTTTCAGTCCAGTTTTAGAATATATGCCGAGCAAAATAACTTGGAATTCCTTTTCCCCATTACTTACAATGAAAATAATGTAAAATGGTTTACCTGCTTTCTGATCTGAAATCAATATCTTCTCTGTTAATTTTTTGACGAAAAGTTACATCATCAAACTGTGAGGGCTTAACATGGGTTCTTTCAAGGTCTGGTTCTGGACTACTAGGTGGAGTATAAGATTCTCCAGGAGGGTAAATCATTCGACTAGGATGATGAAAGCATGATTCTAATGTTCTGCGGCGATAATACCTCTTACATGAAGCATTCGTATACTGTAATAAATTTTCAAAAAATAGCACATTTATTGATAAATATAGAAGACATAGATAGATTCAAAAATAACTAACCAGTTAAAGAAATATAATTCTATATCCTATTGGCAATATATTAATAAATTCACAACCTAGTATTAATACAGGCTTTCTGTGGTTTCAAAATTTCATGACACCTGTCTCATTTTCTGCTTTTAAGCTGCCAAAATAGCATTTAGTTTGAATAATGATCAATTACGAAAAGTAAAAAAGTAAATTATCAGTTACAAAAGTTTACTTCTGCTCTTAGCAAATTAAAGTGTTATCTTTTGTTGGTACTTTTGCTCAGACTAAATAATCTATTAAAATACTCACATAATTAGGTGATTTTAATATTTAGCAAATCTGTGAAAACCAAAATTCCAAACTCTATATTTTAATAATAAAAATGCAACATTGATAATATTTTTCTTAGCACAATATTAAAATGCAAAATTTAATGTAGTTATAGCCTGTTTTCTGTTGATTTTATAAAGCTAAAAGAAATAAATTAGCAACCATCTTTTAAACATTTAGTAATTAAAAGATTGCCGAGTTTCTGGAATATGGTTATGTAAATACCATATTCCAGTTATTTCGTAAATACACATTTACAAAATATTCTCTTAGAGAAGAGTAATATTTATATAAAAATACAATTAAAGGCATTGAAAAGCCAGATGTTTTTGTGAAGTAGATCGTGAAAAAAATATTTTTCACTATAGTTGTATTAAAAGTTACTGTACTAAAAAGAAAAGTGATTCTAGACTTTTAAACTTTTGAAAAATGTTACAATTTAAATTTATAAATAAAAGCAGGTTATAAATTTTTCAAAATACTAAAGTCGGTAAAGGTTTTACAAAGAATTTAGAAATCTCTCTTTGAACAGCAAACTTTTTAGTCCAAATAATAATAATAATATATATATAAAAGACTATTTTTTAGGAACCTTCAGCAGTTATTTATATTTCCTAAACACTTTTTTTACAAAAGCTATTTGCACAATAGCTATCACAAGTCGTAAATTAAAAATAAAAGGTACTGATAAAAATAAAATAAATTTTTCTTAGCTCTTAGAGTAGTATAGATTTTTGATCTGCTCATGAAGACCTTGATTTAAACAGCACTTATTACCTAAATTTGTATAATTACAAATTTCAGTCTCTATTTTCAGAATTTTTCATTCATTAAGATGATATTAACCTTATTAAGGAAAGTTAGACTCTAAAATATTTTAAATTATAAGCTAATATGCACCAAGTGAGAAAAAAATTCTCAGGACTGGATAAAGCCAGTCATGCCACTCTGAGGAATAATTTGCCTCAACATTTTTTTTCCTATTATCTTTAATTCAAAGAACACGAGAAAAATTCTTTCAAAGCAAAAATATAATTTACAATGTATACAAATACTACAATAAAACTATTTTTAGAACACAAACTAAATACAAATGAAACTCTTATCTGAAAAGAAATTTGAATATCCTGAAACAATCACACAAGAAAAAGCTTTTATCATGAAAAATAAGGCAAATGAAATTAATTTAAAAATAATTATAGTAACCTAAGAAGTTCTTCGAAAACTGTGCTTTGTAGCATTTATTATTTCGTTTATTTTTCAGAATCAGAATATTCCCAAGTTGCCAAAATGGAAAGTAATCGCACCTCAAAATATGAAAGTGGAAAATAATAATGCATTAATGTTATTTCTTAAATATAATTTTAATGCATTATGATTTTTAATGATATCTATCAATATTATTAATGTTTGTAAAAAAATTGTGAAAAATTTTGCTTATCTCCAAATAAAAAAATTTTGAATTGATCAAAAAATCGCGTCATCATTTCCAAAAAAGAAATAATTTCGGAATGTTTATGATTCGATCGAGGTAGGGTCTGGTGAAAAGAAACTCAAATATCACACTGTTTAGAGGAAATCGAAGATTTAATGAAATAGGTGGTTTATATAAGTAGGAATGAATTCAAACAATAACTCATCATATATATATATTTATTTATCAATGAATTTCCACAACATATTCCTCAAAAATGTTAATTCATATCTGTAAAAAAACAGACAAAAATGTTAGATGTGTAAAAGACCTTTTGCCAATATTCACCCAAAATTAAGGTTATTTAAAGACCAAAAAGCCTAAGTACTTTTAAACACTTTTAAAGGACCACCCAAACCCTAGTTTAACCAAGATCCTGCTTAACCAAATTAGTAAGTTTGGTAAAGCTTGGAAATCAGTAATTTCCAGTTTTTAAAACTCCTTTTTTCCTTTCACTATTTAAATTTTAATACACATTCTTTAATGTAAATATGCGACGCAACATATTTGTTTGCGAAAATTTAAAAGGGGGGGGGTGTCTGTAAAATTTCTGCTTTGTAGATGACCTACATTAATTAATACATTATATAAATAATTTTATGCCATCAAAAGTATTTATTCGAAAGTCAATTAACTATTAAAAATAGAAGCAGCAAAGATTTTAATAAATCATAAAAAAATTTGTAGTATAGTTAATTTTTTCCATTCTGATAAATTCTGTTTTGCTACCTAAAATGTAGCCTTAATGCTGCTTATCTGAGTCTTGCAATACCTTTTTTTTTGGGGGGGGGGTAAATACAGATGCATGTTGTGATTGCAGATGCATATACATGTACTTTCTCACATATTTTGCTCTCTTCCACTCTTTTCATCCCCTTAAAATTTAGATGTGAAAATTACATACTGTATACAATTCTAAAGGTAGAGGTAAATAAAAAATTTAGATAATTAAAAAGCATATAAGAATAAATGCACTAATATTACTCTCAGATATTGTCTTCAAAATCACCTTTTTATTTCCATACAGTATGATATTTTCCAATCCTGTGACAACAGTAAAAACAAAATTTATTGTTAAACCATGTAATTAAAATATTAAGATTCTCCTTATGGATAAAGTGCAATAAAACTTTAAAAAGAATTATGGAGGAAGAAAATTTTAGAGTGTATATTCAGTGCTAGTTATCCTACTGTTAGTAGCGGCTGGATGTCAGGAAGAAAGCCAACAGAATGGCATTTGACCACTACTAACTAATTTGCACTTTTGAAAGAAGGAATGATGTTTTATATTTCCAATGTTATCAACCCCTTTTGAGACTGAATCCTTAACTGCTGCTAACATTAGGCTGCGTTCACTTCATTTCCATTTTTACCTGCACAGAAGAGGATGACAAATGGATCTTGATTAAGATTTTGAAGGCTTGAAATAACAGATTTAAAAGCATGTGAAAAGAAAACAAATCTGAGAAATTCCATTAATTAACCATTATTATAGAGCAATCTCTCTGAATTCACGGATACGCTGAAAATTATTTAACTGAATCAAAAATTTCTTACACTAAAAATGCAACTAGATATGTATTTCTTTATATGATTTAAAAATGTATTTAAAATGAAAAGTTTTCATTTAATTTATCCTAAAGATATTAAAAAATAGTACTGTTAAAAAAAGTGTGTGCAAAAATCTGTCATTTCTGATTTTATGAAACAAACCTGATAATGAGTAATCCCCCCCTATACTATGCATCTTTTACCAAATATTAAAAACTTTAAAAATATTTAAAATGCTTGTTTTCTAGGCATAAATGTAAGTACAGACCAATTTAAAATACATTTAAGAATAATATCTCTGTTCATTGCAATGCGTGTTAAGGTTAAGCAAAGAAAAAATTTAAGCTGACAATAATTAATACAAACCCAGTCTCTCCATCTCCTTTGGTAATCTTTTAATCTTTCTGAGTTATTTAACTTTTTCTCACTGCCTTCTAACTTATCCAGATAAAACTAAAACAAAGAGGGAAAAGTTAAACATTTTTTAATTTTCACAAATAATTGTAACAATAATCTATATATAAGATTGAATAATATATTCTAAAATGTAGTTCTCAAACATCTCACCACTGAGAAAACACACACACCCCCACCCCCAAATCCTAACATGCATTTCATTTTGTGTAAAACTTACTTTTAGCCATCTATGTTGCAAAGCAGATTTAACATCCATACGGCCACTGTAAATAATTAAAATTTTACTCCATGTATAAAAATTTCACTTCTAAGACAATTATAAATCTATTTCAATTTTTGCATCAAGAATTATCATTGTCTTTACCTTGGATCAAAGACTAGCAACTTGGACATAAAATCTTTGGCATCATCACTAACTCCATTAAATGCATCTTCAACAAAGTTAATTTTCCCTTGCTGAACTCTTGTCAAAGTCTCTCTATCATTTTCTCCGAGGAAAGGTGATATGCCACTCAATCTAATAATCGTATTTCAAGAAATTTATTTAGATAATATATATAGATAAGAGAAATAAATATTATTACTAAAACATTTTGCAACAGAAACAGAATTAAGAGAAAATAATAAAAGATACTCACAACAGATAAGTAATAACACCAACACTCCTAAAATTTAAAAGAAAAAAAAAAAAAAAAAAAAAAAGACTTTAAAAGGCTAAAAGAAATATATTTCAAATTTTCTTTAAAAAAAGTATTTTTGTGATGTGTTTTACTATTAAAGATAAAATACTAGTATAAAACCAGGGCTGTGGAGTCGGAGTCATGGAGTCGAAATCGGGCAGATTTTGGGGTAAAAGGAGTCGGAGCTGGAGTCGCTAAAAACAGGTTGACTCTGTACTCCAGTTTTTGTTGGACAGTTTGAATTTGAAATGAAATTAAAATGAATTAAAAAAGTTAATGACAAGCTGAGTTATTATTTTTATTTACAGACCGTATACATAGTTATTTTCTATTTTATTGACATATTAATAAATAAATATAAGGATGGATGTAATATTTGCTCAACCGATGGCCCTCATCCGCGAGGAGTTTCAACAGGCATCCGGGAGTATTGTTTCAATGAATACTATCTGTAAGGAAGCACATCTGCTTGGTTTTCATGGTCTTGCTGCTGCCCATAAGCCTTTGATCACAAAGTCCAACTGAGCTGCTCGGTTAATGTGGTGCAAAGCACATCGAAATTGGACTGTAGATCAGTGGAAATGGGTTCTTTGGAGTGACAAATCAAGGTTCACCCTTTACCGTTCGGATGGCAGGATCTGGGTCTGGCGTCTACCTGGAGAACGTCTCATGCCAGAATGCATTGTGCCAACAGTCAAGTTCGGCGGAGGTGGAATTATGGTCTGGGGGTGTTTCTCCTGGTATGAGCTTGGTCCCCATTCATGGTAAGCTCAACTCCGATGCCTACTGCCCTATTTTGGATGACAATGCTTCCTACAGTGGCAGTTTTACGGGTTGGACCCCTGTTACTTTCAGGACGACAATGCCAGTTGTCATGTTTCGACATTAACCAAGGCTTGGCATGGCGCCAATGGAGTTCATCGAATGGACTGGCCTGCCCAGAGTCCAGACCTGAACCCTATCGAGAACCTCTGGGATGAGTTGCATCGCCGAATTCATTGGGTGCACTACCCGTGCAAAATCGGTGAAGGAACTTCTATGTCTTCTCCAAGCCGAGTGAAAGAAAATACCACTAGCTGTCATACAAAGACTTGTGGAAAGTATGCCCCGGAGGGTTCACGCTGTAATTACCTCTTGTGGAGGCTCTACCAACTATTTATTTTGAATAAAGTTAGTTTTTCTTTTCTACAGGTGTCCAAATACTTATTGGTAGTCAGTGTATATATATGAGGAAGTCAGAGTCATTAAAATTCCAGGAGTCAGAGTCGGAGTCGGTCATTTTCCCTACCGACTCCACAGCCCTGTTTGAAATATCATCTTAATGTTTAATTAAATTAAATTCAAGTCAGTACTATTTAAATAACAATGCAAAAAGTCTTACCACATATCAGAGAGAAGAGAAGCAGGTTGTTTATTGGCTATTTCTGGTGCAACAAATTCTGGATGACCATATTCTAAGTAATAATCTTTACCAGGTAATAATCGAGCTGCTAGGCTAAAATCTCCAAATTTTATATCATAACTGTTCACTCGCGACACCAATACATCACCAACCTGCAAACATTAATTTTTTTAAAAAAATTTTTAAACATTATTGCACGGTTCTGAATAAACTTTTCAAGTGTCCTGCATTTTTAAATGAGTTAGATGTTTGTTTGATGTTGATATACATCAAACAAAATTTTCCTGATAAGGATAACCATACTTTTTATCTATTTTCTTTCAAAATTAGCTCTACATGTTAGAACAAATTTCTTTCAAATTTATTTTTGTGTGGACCAAAAGAAATGTATTTTACTATAAAATTAACATCATGTTCTATTTTCATACTATATCTATAGTTCATACTAAGAAAAAAAATATGACTTTAATATGTTATGAAAGTATAAAGTAAATTACCACAATTAGGAAATTTAGAAATTATAAATTTTATATGTAACAAGTTCCTATGTTTTATATGTAAAAATAAGTCTTTGCTTAGGTCAATTCTTTAATTACTACAAAGCATGAAAAATTAACTGCTCAAAAGGGGATGTTCCCTTGGAGAAATTTCTAATGAAAATTTGCTCATAGTTAAATTAGAAAACACCATGAAAATACCCACTATAAAACATTTAGCTATTTTCTTTCTAAAACAATTTCTGTATCTATCCCTAAATCTGAAACTCAAAACCACATCCACTGAAACAAGGGACGAATCATGTATATGAAAACCTCTTTCAATGAAATTTCTCTCTGCAAGCTTAAAGAAACTCAGCAAAGTGTTCTGACATCTTATGCCTGAGCCTGACTTGTGAGTCTTGACAGTTTTGCAAACAAAGTCACAATTCCACATTTTAGGTATTTCTAACTGGCTAAAGAAAACCCTCATCCATTCATTTAGATTACATTTAAAGATTCTGAAATTTGCTAATTTCTTTAGAGGGTTTTTCTGCTAATTTATTTTTTTCTTCGAACTTCCAGTTAAAATATAACTAGAATGCCATCTATCATTCAAGGAACATAAAGAAATACCTGATTCACATCTCAAAAATTTCAGAACACAGACTGAGATGAGAGAATTTTTCTATTTTAAAGTGCATTCTTCACAAAATGCACTGTCTTGGCATGTTTAAAATGCCTAAGCTTTTCTGTCTCTCTAGAAAGACAAAAATTACCAGCAGATGAATTTTTATTATAGGTCACTAACAGAGCTGTGACAAAGGTGAGCCAAGTGAATCGTTTAACTCACTTGTTACCCGTTCATCTGGATGGTTAGCAGGAGTACCAGATAAGCTATGAAAAAGTAGAAATTAATTTTAAAGTACCATACTTTAATAGAAATAAAAAGCACATTACATCTTTACACTGCAATTCATTCTCAGAGCTAAAATGTCACTAATTTTTTTCATTAATCATATTTCTCAGTAAGTTAATCATGAATCAGGTAATTGTCTTTTCAGTATATGTTTGACTTAGCATAGTAATCAAAATAATAAACAATAAAGTTATTTAAGGAGAAATAAATTGATTTATATTATTATCTATAGTTCAAATTACTTATTATAATATTTCAAATGGAAATCCTTTACACTTAGTTGGATTAAATGCTAATTTAAGAATGTCAATGATTTCTGAGGTGCCAAATGAGCTGTGTACATAAATCTTGCAGTCAGATGTAGCATGACAAATAAAATGCTATAAATCAAGAATTAATGTTCTCCATTTCTGCTTTTAACTATAAACCCCCATAAGCATTTTTGTAAAAAACTTTAAGAGTTATTCTGTTAAAAATTAAAAACATATGCTATTTATTTTAAGTAATATTTTTTAATTTTTCTTATTCATATTTTTGTGTTTTCTATATCTTATGACCTTCATGACAGTAGTTTTCCATATTAATATTATCATATGCTACTGCATTAAAATAATTCTTCTATGAACTTCCAGTTTTTCATATCCGCTGGCTAAAAATTTAATTCCATTGGATTGAGATGATTTAAATAGCATCTTATAATTTAAACATTTAAATACCGGAATGATTAAAAATCTGAAGACATTTTACCAGATTTGGTTTTAAAAATCATGCAAGTACACAAATTCTGAAGACTAAAGCAGCTATAAAATATTTACAAATACAGTTTAGTTCAACCACATTCAAATGTAAAAACTATTATATTAAGAATATTTTTAACTCTTATAGTCACTTTTGCTAATGTGAAAGAAACATTGGTTAACTTAAAATAATGAAAAGCTATATAAGGACCTTAACTTGGTTGAAAAATGTGTCAGTTCTGTCTCTACACCATGAGTTAAGTAATCAAATAAATTTTAAATACATATTGATGATTTTCATCAGACAAACACAAGAAATTTAGGATTTAAAATAAAGGCTTGGATATTAGTATCACACATTTTTATTATTTGTACTACTATTTATTACTTTTAAAGTTATTTATTGAACCATCAAGACCTTATTAAACCTTTTTCAGTTTAAAACAATTTATTTTTTGTATATTATTTTCTGGATATAAAACCTATGACTAAAAATTTCTATAAAGATTGCAGATTATGATTTAAAACACTTATGTTTATTGCAGTATTATGATTTAAAACACTTATGTTTATTAAATACAAAAGTAGACAAGTTTAACTTGCACTGTATATAGGAGCAAAAATTTTCACTCTTGCCTCAGGTGAAAAAATACCTAGTCAGGCTCTGGTGTATAATGTTCTCTTGTTAAATTTATCTGCAGATGAAAAGAGGATATTTACCTTCCAAAATTTATTCTGTATAAGACATCTTAGCTGTCTTGCTAATTATATTCCAGAAATAACTGGCACAGCCACAATTTGTTATAAGGGATTGATTATTTTTTAATTAAATTAAGCATATTAAGAAAGATTCCTGTCTTTGTGACGGTATAAATTTAATTAATTTTACATCTGTGACCAAATCCTGTGTTTCAAAATCACAAGCAGTTAAGTCCTTCAACAACTGAAAATTCACATCTATATATTTTTATGTAAATTTTAAAATTGTAGCTATAGTGTAAATAAGAAATCATAAAAAATTCAGATGATCCTCCAGCATTCCTTTAAAATGTCAACCATACAGCTACCAATTATTCACTGGTTGGCCAGGAAAGATGGCAAATTTATATATTGACCCAGATGAATAAACACATTTATAAAATTTAATTATAACTACTGTATCATTTCAAATCAAAAATATGTCAGATTAGGCACACGGGAATTTAGTGTCTATCCTTTCTTTTAACAAATTAAACCCTTTTTTATTTCCTCATAACATATATAAGTAGGTAAGGTAAGTAATAATTTCATACAAAAATCTGGAAGGTTTCATTGAATGAGCACAGATTAGTGTCGGCAAAACACACTTTTACTATTTTTGAAATGATGTCTGCCTGTGATGACTTTCCGCGCATGATAACTCTTATATGATACTTCTAAAATTTTCTACTTCTCATATTTAAGCTTTCTAAAATCACATAAAGAGTTGATAGATTTTCGGTAAAATTTGATAATAAGAAGTGATACTTTACATTAAGCCCGTAACAGGTTTTAATCAACAACTGGAAATGGTACTTCACTTGAAGCCCATCAGTTTTTAATGAAAAACTAAAATAAAATATAATTTGAAACTTTTTAATTTTAGTATTAAAAGTTTTATATTAATGAGAACAACATATTATATTTTGGCTAAAATTGATAAACCAGAAAGGATACTTTACTTGAAGATCTAAACAGACTTTTGTAAAAAAATACATTATGAGATAACCCAAAACTTCTCAAATTTGATATTTAAAATAACTATGTGATTGAGAAAAACACATTGCATTTATAAGTATTAAATGTAATCTTGGAATTACACTAATTGCAACAAGGATAAGCTACTTATAAAGACGAGCTCTCAATATGAATCAGTTAAATGTTCCCTACCTTCAGTTATGTATTCTTTTCCCTTTTGTGTGGAATCACTTTTCAAATAAAAGGATGTTGCCACCAAATTTTATCATTATGTATTATTTTTAAAGAAATAATATGCAAATATATACATATATATGGCAACAATTAACACTTCCAAAGATAAGCTGATTTTAAAAGATTTTTTGATGGATTTTATGCACCGTAAGTGCCATGAAAGTGATATTCAATTAATAAATGATGACAAATCAAAAGTTGTTCACATTATTAAGAAAACAGAATACTGATATCATAAATTGAGATAACAGCAATAAAGAAATATGACAACAACACTCTATCGAGAATTCTAAAGATATGCTGCTTTTAAAAATTCTGTGATTCTCAAGTCATTGACTTGTGAATACCAAACACTATATGACCAGAAAATATACTAGGATCATTACAATATTTTCAAATTAAAGAATGAGAATGGATGTTTACATGAGTACATATGTGGTTATCATTGTCCATCATATAGAAGAACAGGTAATAGAAAAATGAGTAGTATTTATAATTAATAATGAGCCATAAAGTTTATAAACAAATTTTATTTTATTTACAAATGATCAACCGGAAGTGATAGTTTACTTGAAGTTCATCGCTAGCCCACGAATTTCATGTTTTAATATGGAATTGGCAGGAGGTCATGTTCTGGTGATACCAGATTTTTTTAAAGCTATAAATCTGTATTTTGGACAATTTTAAAAATTTGCAACCCTCATTTTTTCAAAAATCAACAATCCATGATATTCTTATTTTCTTTTTAATTTCTGCTCACCCCAGCATTTAAAATAATATGATCAATGTTTGAATTGTTATTATTTATACCAGTTATTGATGAGCTGCCTTACTTCAAGATAGGCTGACTGATTTATGATGATGAAATTTTTAGTATAAAAGTCCCATGTTGTCATTTTATTGAAAAAAAAATTTTTTTTTTTTGTATTGTAAAGACCTTTACAAAAGCAAAATAAAAATTTATGATTTATTCTCTAACAGAAAATACTTTAAAAATATTAAAATTAGTAATCATCAATGGAATTGCTCTATACATAAAAAATTTAACAAACTAAAATAAACAGTTAGTGCAGGCTGTACCAATTGTACACAATAGAATCTCCTCTAGTGCTACCGCAAACATGAACTGGCAACCCTATAAAGTGACATGTAATCAGTGTCTATGACTATGAAAATTATTGGTTGATACAAGCAAAAGTGCGGAAATGATAGGTACACATTAGAGATATCAATTTATAAAATTCACATACTTTAACATACTGCCTTGATAATTGTACTGTGATTAGTGAACTACATTGTACAGCATATGAAACATTTTGATCATTATTTCCCATTAGTGCTAGAGAAATATAATACTTCAAAAAAGTGGACTGGATCCAAATTATGCACATCATCTGTACAGAGGAACAGAGGATCAAAGGCTTATGAACTAGGCATATGAGGTAGTTCTTGTATGCTTACAAAAATATTTCAAGATAATATGTGAAAGCAAATAACTAATAGATCAAAAGATCTGAAGCAATGAACTAAAAACAGCAGATCACAAATTACATTATTATCAATTTTTTGGCATATTTTTATCATATTTTATTTTTCTTATTCCTTAAAAATATTTATGAATAAATTTTCCTTTAAAGCATAAAAATGATAAAAGAATGAATAATACCTATTATAAAAGTGATGTTAGTAGTTGGGTTCAAACTAAAAATTTCTCATCTACAGTATTATATTACCATTCAAAAGCTACATTAAATGTAGGAATTAAAATAACATAATATTACTTAGAACAATGGCCTTAATTTTCTTGCTTATTTTTTAGTAGGACATACTAAGAGCTTTGCAAATGCCTTAAAATAAAATTCATCGCAAAAATAATATAAGTTTTCTGCAATGAATCTGAATGAAATGTGAAGAGAAGACTATGGGCTTCCATATTTAGGATAACCCAGAATTTATACAAATATTTTGGAATAAGTTCTGTCTTTAAGAAAAAAAATCACATTTTTAATGAAGCCCAATTTTTGCTCAAAAACCATTTGTTAACAAAAACGATATATGCTTACAGTTCACAAATAGCACAAAAACTGCAATTTTGTAAACACTGCAAATTTGTTATGGACAAACTGCAGCTGCTATGGGATAGAAATTTATCTCAAAAAGTTATATAACAGTGTGGATCACATTTAATTATAAATCAACTATTCATTTACATTCAATCATTATTCACAATGTTATATAAATTCTGAATTTTAATTTTCATACAACATTTGTATTCTACAAAATGTTTGTAACTGTTAAAAATTTATATATTTATGTGTAAAAGCATGCTCAGTTTAATATATTTTATTTTTCACAATAAAATCACGTAATAGAATATGCAACCAAAAAAACTTTCCTAATATAACTGAGAAAGAACTAAAATATTGATCATTAATCACTTTTTATTCATTTAGATATACTACTGTTGCCACTCATTTTGCAATACTATATATATAAAAATTACCCTTCAATAGTAATAATATAGAAAACTTCTCAATGTGAATTATGTTTTACATTTTCAGACCATTAATTCTTTTAAGTGCATTCTTTTTTAACTTTACTAATCAATTGAAAAATTGCAGCCAAGTCTCAACTCATTATATATAAAATATTTCATGAAAATAAATTAACAATTTTGCTTACAGTTTGTATAATTTGCAAAAGAAGAAGCCTTATTAAGAATCACATATGCAAATAAAAAATTAAAAACCGTATTTACTGACTCTTCCCCAAAATGCAAAAAATCATTAATCAAAGAATTAGGTGCTTTAAGGAAATTTCTTACTACACTTCACCTAAATTAAAAGAACTAATTATTGATACTTACAGTCAATCCCAAGTGGCCAACATATCGACTGTGCATGTAATCCAGCCCTTCTAAAATCTGCCTTATATAGTTTGCAACATCTCTTTCAGTTACACCACCTCTCTTAAGAATATCTCCAAGAAGTTCACCTCCAGCACAACTTTAATTATGGTAAAGGAAATGAATTTTTGAAATTTTACAATAATATTTTACTTTGAAAACAACTATATGGATTGAAATAATATAATTTAAAATTTATAGTATCTTATTTGCTTCAAGGAATTTTAAATCTCTACAAGTGTAAATCATTCCAAATGTTTGGATATTTTATTTCTGAAAGTCTAAACAATAGTTCATTTTAAAAACAGATTAATTTTTCTATCAGTGCATTTCCAATATTTTTTAAAAGAGCATTTTAATCTAGATGTATTCAAAGCCTAGAGATGTATTTTATTTCCCTTTAAAACATAAAAATGATAAAAGAATAAATAATACCAATTATAAAAGTGATGTTATTAGCTGGTTTCAAACTAAAAATTTCTCATCTGCAGCATCATATTACCATTCAAAGGCTACATTAAATGTAGGAATTAAAATAACATAAATATTACTTAGAACAATGGCCTTGATTTTCTTGCTTATTTTTTAGTAGGACATACTAAGAGCTTTGCAAGTGTATTAAAATAAAATTCATCTCAAGAATAATATAAGTTTTCTGCAGTGAATTTGAATGAAATGTGAAGAGAAGACTATGGACTTTCATATATAGGATAACCCAGAATTTATACAAATATTTTGGAATAAGTTCTGTCTTTAAGAAAGAAATCACCTTTTTAATAAAGCCCAGTTTTTGCTCAAAACTGGCATTTTAATCTAGATGTATTCAAAGCCTAGAGATATATTTTATTTTAAATGAATCATTACAATGCATATATACATAGCCACCATTTACTCTTCCACACGTTTTACATGAAATAAATATTTTGTAGATAAATAACTACACAAACAGATTTTCCAGTACCATATATTATGGCAAATAAACATAAAAAATTTAAATGAGGAGCACAGAAATGGATTATTTAAATTATGGTAAAATCCTTGAAGGTTAGCAACCTAATGACAGAGATGACTTTGTGAAGGACATTTTAAGGAAAACTGGCTCATATCCACATTACACATGGGGTTAATCACTAAAATACACATGCAGCCAACCTGTTCAATGAGATTTGAACCCAGGTCCAACTACCAGTGCTTAATGAATTAATTACTTAACCACTGGTGGGTAAGGAACAATGAAAATATGCAGTTTTGAAAAATATCAAACTTGAAATTTTTATATTTATTTTTAAGTTTCAGGAACGGTACACAAGAACATTAAAAATCACATTTATAACAGAATGGTTGAATTTAAAAAAAAAAAAGAGTAAATTAAACAGAACTTGAATCAGATTGGACATAACAGATTACAGTTAATTTAAATTATATCTATAATATATTTTAAATTTCTATGTAAAAATATAAAATTTATTAAACAAAGGATACATATCTGTTAACAAAGTCAGAGTATCCTTAGTCTCAAAAGCATCTCTAAGGCGGACAAGTTTTGGGTGACACAACTGATTCATTATATCTAATTCTGCTTTCATAAATTCCTTAAGTTTTCCTTTGCCATGCATTGTTTTAGCAGCATAACTGTCTCCTGTTTCTCGCTTCACAGCATGATAGACAATACCCTGTGTGCCTCTATAAATAAAAGTATTTAAAAAATTATAGAAAGCATTTTAATACTACATTTAGATCTTAAAAATGAAAATATAAACATAATGTAAGAAAATTTCACTTCACTTACGTTTATGGAAGAAAACAAAAAAAAAAAAAAAAATCAATAAACTCTTATTAATGTTTTAAGAAATGATTAAGATTGTTTTTAAATTTATTGAATTAAAAATAGAAATCGGAAACTTCATCACAGTTAAAACTTTGGTTTCATAATCAACTGCAACTGATTTTTTTGCAACCATTGTTATAAATAATATGGCCGGAAACAGACATACTCTACACATCAAACCTATTAGACACCCTATAGACCTGATACAGAATAAATTATGCATTGTTAAATATACTGTTTATCTGAAAAATGATGATGGTGTTTGGCATTAGTTCATATTATAATATACATTACGCAAAATGCTCTGAAAAAAGATGGAAACAATTCTAACGCGTGAAAATTATTTGGGAATTATTAAAAATTAAATCAGAAATGAAACAAAGCAGTTATGCAATATATTATTATACAAAAGAATGTTTAAATTTTTGATTTATACTTACATTACTTACATTAGCCTTTAAACACACTTTTAAAAATGACACTATAGTATATGAATTTTAAATTAAAAAATGACACTATTTGTATATATGAAGTCTAATTGGAAATAGGGAAATAATAATGCAAATTTAAAATTATGTAATCATAATCTTGATCCAGGGTCAATAAAAATAATTTTACAAAAATTTTTATTAACCTAAAAGTTTTAGAAGATTCCATTTAACTGAACTTTAACTTTACACAGGGTTCGTACATACTTCTGTGCATGGAAATTAAGTACTTTTAAGGACCATTAATGAAAAAAAATTAAGGACCTATGAGTGAATGGGAACTGAATAAATTCAATTAAAAATATTATATATCTCTGAACTTCACTTTTGTAATACCATCCTAAAAATAAAATGAATCCGTAAGTAAGATGAATTATTATTATTAAACATGACTTAATTAACATAATTATTATTAAGTCTGAGAATAAAATATATGAATTTTATCAAGGAGCATTATATATTTTACACTTATAAGAACTGAACTTATTTGAAAGGAGGTAAATGACATTTTATTTACGTTTTACTAACAGTTAGTTTTATGTTGATTTTATTTTATATCTCATTTTGTCACACACTTGCTCAGTGTAGAGCTTTAGTAAATAGTAAGCAGATTTTATGTCAAGTGGCATAGGTTAAAATGAGAAGTAGAATCATAATCAGCATGATTCACAACAAAAGACTGGCAGCTGTCACTGCTGCTGCTTACCTAGAAAGATATCTACTGATCAGAACAAACCTGAAAGGCCCGATGTAGGCACGGTTGGGACAAGTTCTGAAAGTTAGCTGGGCTCTGTCTGATGCTGTTAATGTCGTAGCTTCGTGTACAGTTCCAGAGGTCGTGACTCAGTTAATATACTTTAAGGTTCTAATAAGCCACTAAAGCACCAGAGGTGATAAGTTGTTTTACATTATTTTAAGTCTCACTAGATGCAAAAAATAAGTTTTACATGAATTTTTACATTTTTGTGTTTTATCTTGTGACTATGGTAAGGGTTAATGAAAGGCAATAACTCGCTTTAATATGCAGAGATAATTTTTAAGGCAAGCAATTAGTTTTAATTATTAAATTAAGTATAATAACCTTAGTCATTATGATTTTACATGGCCACTATTAAATTTTATTTATTTTTAAAAATTTGTTAAAAAAGGCCCAATCTAATAAAATTTCACAGCTTAAAATACATGCAATTTATGACTTGATTCTTAAACGATATTCGGATAATTACATTAAAGCTACAAAACATTTATTTTTTGTAGCACCAATACTCAACAAAATATTTATGCGTCTTTTTAATTTGAAGCCTTCCCAGACATTTTGGCTTATTTATATTGATTTCCTTCTCTTTAAGCACCTTTTCTAACAATTAGAAATTTCTCTCAATACACAAAAAAAATGTTCTCACTAGTTTCTGCATGCTTTTATCTCCTAACCTGTTAACCTGTCTACAATGTATCTATGAGGGTTTATTTGATCTGGTAAAAGTTAAATAGTCCAAAACACATCAGCAGATATAAAGCAAATTATCGCTATGTCTGAAAGTAACTACAATGTCCAACAAAGGTTTAAATAGATTCTTATTTAAAAGAACTTAAAAAATAAAGGCATGTTCTTATGCTAACAAAATCAATTACAGCTCGTAGTGATGTAATGAAGAGTCAAATTCAAACTAAAAATATGGATTAGTGGTCAAAGACTATACAATTTAATTTCATTTTAAGTAGGCTTAGTAACTCTATCATCATAACAAACTCAAATGTCGGCAATGGTAATCCAAGACGAATAATTACAAATTATCAGAGCTGGCGGGAACTAATGCAGGGAGCAAATGGAGGTCAGAAACACACTCTTGTCTTTCACTCCAAAAATCTCGGTTTAAAAACTGTCTAAGTGATTTATTTGCATTCTTGTGAGAAAGTGGAAATGGGAAATTATAGTAAAGGCTGAAATTGTAAACAAATGGGTAATTTAAATAATAATAACTGTCATATCTTTGAAGAATAATTTTGTTTTTCTTTATGTATTCAGTTTCTTTCTTCCACGTTTCCTTTTCATTTTAGAATTTTTGGATTTAATTAAAGATTTCTGATATTCTAAATAAACTAATGCATTTAGAATGTATAGAAAAAGCTGCTAATTTTATTTCTTTAGTAATATGAACATTCAGAAGAAATATGAAATATATATGGTAAGCTTCAGTTAGAGAGCTGATGTGGCATAATTTTAATAATTTAGTGACACACTGAGCAGTAGAGTCTACAAATGGCAAAACTTTTAGAATTCAGAACAGGCATTGGAAGCAGAATTTAGAAAGGCACCAGGCAGCAGAATTTAAGATCCACAGAGACTGCATCAGATGGGAAAATGCCTAGTGCTAGCCAGCCCTGTGTATGATGCATTAAGATATATTAGATGAATCTTTTAAATTGTCAGTTTTAAATTTCTTTATTAATAAAATAATAAGAAGCATATAATAAGAAGCATTTCTGATATTTTCCATGTCTGTCTCTAGTGAAAAGTAGAGAAAATAAAGGGAAGATTAAAATATTAAGAAAAGATTCTAGTATCAGAAGTAAAACATTCACTATATGTTTTTCATTGTTCCTTCCCAGATATTCTCCAAAAGTAAGAAATTACGTGTTAATACTATGGAGACATTTTTTCATTATGTCACATTTTTCTGGAATCTTCTAGAATCGTTGGTCTATAAATCGTGCCTTCATATCTTTCTAAACTTCTTAAAACTAAAAAGCTGCAATCTCTAAAATCCTAAAAAAAATTACCCCTATCAATTCTGTAACAGCATTCAGCCAGAAATATTTTGGGGAAAAAAAATCGGAGGGAAAAAGTGTAAAATTAATTTTATAGAGGAAAACAGGGCTTAATTTCTGAAATTAGATATGCTAGAGCCCTGTGGAACACCGTCAGGAAAGAGGTACAAAAATAAATAAATAAAAATGGCTAATAAAATCACTAATAATTAAAAAACTTAAAATTATTATTAAAATAATTCATAATTAACATTAAAGAATTAATATTTTAAATAAAAAATTAAAATATGAAGAGAAATAAAATTTAATAAGCAATTTTTTAATATATTGTATTACTAAAAATAAAATTTTTGATATAAAATTTCTACTGAAATTTTGTTCAGGTACAAAAAAGAAGTGTCACAGCTTTCTTATTTAGGGCTCCAGGTATAATTATGATTTATCCCCAAAACTAAGAAGTACGGGAGCAGGGCTCAGGCACAATTTAAGTTTTGGAGAAAACTGATGTATATTTTGAGAATTCTGAATATTCTGAGACAATTACACGGGGAAAACTCTTACCATGGAAATATTAAAAACATATTTTTAATTAATTACATAGCTAGTTTGCTTTGGATAAGAAATGTTTTGTAAATGGTGCTTTATAGCATTATACTTGCTTATTTTCAACATATTGTTACGAAATGTCAAGGTGTGGTGAGATGGCTTCGATGAAAGCTGAAATGAAAGCTGGATGTGCTGAGATAAAAGCTGGATATAAAGAGATGACAGCTGAGATCAATGCCGGACTGAAAGAGATGAAAGCCAGACTGGAAGATAGAAGCCCAGCGGGAAGAATAAATGTCGGCCAAGAAAAGGTGCGAGAGCAACTCCAACCACTGAAAGTGGAGTTTGCAGAAGAAACTGGAGCCATAAAAGAAGATGTGAAAATGACAGTAGTGGCATCTGGAGAATCCAAGGATGAAGAAATGAAAGAAGTAGCTAATGAACTGCCTGAGAAAGATCTAGAAATGATCGATGAAATATCTAATGGGATTAAAGAAAAAGAACAAAAACACGAAGAAATAAAAGATGGGAAGGAAGATTTTGATTCTCATGTGTCTGAAGTAGTGATAGAAGAAAGTAAAAATGCGACTGTCAAGTTCCTAGAAACTGATAGTGAAGTTATGAAAACGCACTCAGCAAGTCTCGAACCATCTGAAAGTGCATGTGATGCAGAGATGACCAAAGTTAATGTGCAGCTTAAGCAATGCGCTCCAGTATTGAAAGAAAATTCACCCACTTTCCAAACTATGTGTGCATCTCATAGTGTAGATTTTGAAGACAAGGACTTGTTTCTAAACCTGGATACTTCTGCTTGTAAAGGATCGGATTTTATTCATGACCCTGGTGCAAACATCGGAACTGGCCTTCAGGAAATAGAGGTAAATAAGCATGCACCCTCTGCTAAAACTACCGAGGTGAACTGTACGGCTGCTGCGAATTAACTACAGAAGTGGGATGTTTTCCTCTTCCTGACACCAGTTCTTACATTATTTTCTTCCTTCACATTCGTATGGGGTTCATAGTAAATAACGACGACACTTGATGAAGTATCGAAACACACTTTATTTACCAATATCAATCATGACAGCTCCAAAACACTTTTACAATCGGCGAAGATCTACTATAAACATGTTGGAACAATCAGCGACACAGCCTTCACACTGTCAGGCAATAACGGTGGAGACAGCTTCACTGCAAAGCACCAGAGTACAGCTTCCGACTCTGCTTGGTCGTTCTTGGAACTCCACGTACTCTTGAAACTCTCCACGCTACAACTTGCAATGCACAAGAGTATAGCTCTCGACTCAGCACAGTCTAAGACGAAACTCGATAATGCACTAATTCGCGATACACTAAAAGACTCTCTTGATGCACTCGATGACGAACTCGGTGCTAGACTTCGAGACACTCCCTCAATGACTGACTATCAACTCGCTAGACGAGGCACACACACTAACTCGTAACCAGTATGGCTTATATAGCTTTCGGCTTGTGTTCGAGAACATTCTGGGCTAAACCAGTAAGAATTCGTTTCAGAAGGTTGTCCATCACTCCATGACATATCACCTTCCCTTGCCATTTTATGGCAACCCTAAAACTGCTTTGCGGGGAAGCCATCTCACCATGCCTTGACATTTCGTAACAATATAATAAATGGCCAAAATTGAACTTTATAATATATCACAGCAAAAATAAAAATGCTTTATTTTAATCTCTATATAATTCAAAAAATATTACCATTAATTAATAAAATTTTCATGTTACAATGTTCTAAAAAAAAACTGCCAAAAAATTCCTAGATCTCGGAATTAAAAATTTTCTATAGAAACAGAACTTAAAATTGCCAAAATGTTGCTAAGTCGCCAAATTTAGAATGGTTTAATTAAAGAATTCACATCCCAAAAAGCAAAAAGTTGTTTAAGAGCTCTTCGTTAGAAAAAATGAAATAATTTCGAAATGCTTATGTTTCACTTCTTGTTCAGAAACTCGAATATCCCACCATTTATATTAAACTAGAAAAATTTTAAATCATGAACCCATTCAAAAGATAACCATATTTGTCAGCAAATCGCCAAAATATTCCAAATGTTAACTCACACTCAAAATGCAGTCGTAAAAACAGACGAAATTCAGACGATTAAAATAAGACCTTCTGACGTTTTTGCCGAAATTAAGGACTTTTAAGGACCAAAAATTGATTACAAAAAATTAAGGACTATTAAGGACTCTTAAGAACCGTACGAACCCTGTTTACAATAATATACATTATACACTATTATACTCTTATAGTGTAAAAATAATTTTACTATGCTATTAAGCATTTTTCCTAAATAGTGCATTAAAAATTAATATGCTAGCAAAACAAACTTCAATGAGAATAATAGAACTAAAAATAATAATTTCAAATATAAACTTTATGTATATTGTTCAATGCACTTTTAACAATTTAGAGAATATACATAATTTTCCATATCCATTTCACAAACAGAAGTATATTTTTCCCAATTTTAATTTTATAAGTGACAGAATTCTAATACACCAGAAATTTAAATTAGTACAAATATTTATTTTATATAAATTATAATAGTACACTTTTAATAAAAAAAACAGAATGAATGATGTGCTTTTCTTGAAGACCTGAAACTCCTTTTACCTGCTTATAAAATAATCTATTTCTATAGAAAGTTTTAGCAACACTTATCTAATCTTATAATTAACATATACATAATAAATTACATACCTACATACTTATATATAATAAAAAATTTCGAAACTGTTTTTCTAATATAGTAATAAGCAGCATTTTTATCAAACATTATACTTAATTATTGATCTTAGAATAAGATATTTATTTTTAAATAGCTTAACAAAGAAATAATATACATGGTTTTCAGCAGGTTTACATTTTGAAGTGTGTAATACAAAACTGTAAATATCTCACCGGCCAAGTTCATCTCCAATATCATAAAAATCTTCAAATATCTTTGTACGAGGCCTCACAGGAATGGGCCGGCAATATGTTTTTGCATCAAACATATCTTCAGAATCTAAAAAAAAAAAAAAAAAAAAAAAAAAAAAATTAGAAAATTTATTTTTTAAGAATATAAATTACAAGAAATGGAAGTAAATATATCCATTTAAATAGATCTTTTGAAATAATTGATTACGTATAAGCTAATAAATTGAATATACTACAGAGTCCAAACAATACTACTAACTCAGCGAATACTTTTCTCAGCTCTTAACGTTTTGACTGTCACCAGTGACACGACCAATAGTAAAATACATAAGTAACGTAAATATCGATATTGATAATGTTTTTAAAAAGTACCATTTTTACTATAATGGTTTGAATAATAAATCGTAAAAAATTTAATTATAAATTGCAATAATGGTCTGCAGTGCCTTGGGGGTCACCGGTCACCCCCACCACGAAAAATGCATCAAGCACGATTATATAACTCACATTATCTTCTGTAGATAATATTTAAACATAATATACATCGCATAATAAAAATTTCAAGTTGGCATCATGGGCAAACCACATAAAATGTGTGCAGCAGTCAATGTGTTAATATCATTATGAAATTATACTTTCTGTTATATTCCACCATACATTAGGAAACAGTAGTATGGTTAGGAACAATGGTATTAGGAAACAATTAGTATGGTAATATCAATTATGTGAATTACATGTAACATTTTTGGATACTCAAAAACAATATACAATATATTAATGACGCTTTTCAAAATTTTCTCTTCATCAAACGAGTTAATCTTTCACCTTTAAACCCGAAAATTTCATAAGAACAACTGTTAAAAAAATCAGTGTAGTATAGTTCAAATGCCGAAAAATACATAAATAGATTATTTAACATTTCAACAGTCTAATTTTGTTGATGAAATCAGACAGTAAAAATTAACAAAAATATTAAATAAAAAAATGTAATAAAGTTATGCAAGTTCAGTTTTGTGTTACAATACATTTTAGGTATTTAAAAGTTTGACTTTCAAAAACACAGATATTTATTTTAAACATCTGAATCCAAACATAACACAGTGAAATTTAAAATTAAGTTATAAAACATTTATTTAACTAAATTCATACTAAGTAATTTAATAAACTTGAAACAAACCTTCTACATTAAGATTTGCTGAACTTGTAGCAGTTCCTGCAATATTAGTAGCAGTGCAAGAAAATAGAGCATTGTCTCTAGAGATTAAATTGCTGATGAACAAAGTACACTTGTCTGGTTCCTCCCATAAGATTTTAGTCCTGTCAGATTCATACAAAGGATGCCAGTCCTTGAACCATTTGATTTTTGGATAAGGTATACCAGTTACACGACACTGCATACGTGCACTGCGTCGTGACATTGCAGTTGTCTCATCTAATCTTTCAATGAATATAGGAGGTTCTGGGTATGCAAATAAATATTACATTTTAAATTCAAAATTTTGATTAAAATATAACATGCTAAATCATACATAAATAATTTATTCTTTTTTCAAATTATGCAAAGGACAAAATAATTAATCCAGAAATATTTATTCAGTTTGATTTTTTTAAAAAAAAAGTTAAGAAGTCTGTTACAGTTCTTTCTCTCATATTTCCAGCCTTTGCCCATAATAGAACACATTGATGTAGTTTTAGTAATTTTACCATATTAAATTACAGGAACAGAAAATTAACTACTAGGACAGAAAAAAATATAAGTTACAATAAATGGTCTCTTAAAAAAAGAAAGAGATTAAATTATTTAAAATTTTACATCTCACAAACCTGCTATAAGAAGCTTGATTTTCATATTTGCTTCCCCTTCGTCATTTACTGCTAAGCATGTGTAGGTTCCAACAAAATCATCAGTCATACAGTCAATAAATACACATAATTTTCCATTTCTGTCTTGTAAGAAACTATACTTATCTTTTCCAATCTGTAATCATAAAGATTTTTGAAATAAATAAATAGTTTATGTATGAATTCCCTGAAATGGACTAAAAGGTAATTAGTTTCTCTAAGCCCCTTTTTTGTAAAAGAACTAAAAATTATTAAAAAGAAAGTTATTCTACTAACTTTTAAATCTGATAACTACAATAATAAATATACACATGCTACTAATACAATAATTAATAAAAACTTTGCAATAAATTTATTAACTTTAATTTATACATCATTATAATTAAATATTTTCAGGTAACACCTACAAATTTGTAAATTAAGAAATCATTTCAAAAGGTATATGTGAGTCCTGATGCACTTCTCATTATTTTCATTTTTATAATGTTCTATAAACAATGCACAGATTTTATATTTAAAAGGAATGTAAAAAAAGAATATATAAAAACCAGAAGGGAGGAGTTCATATATGCATAGCTTAAATACTATCCCCCAAAAATAGTAAAAATAGTCCCTAAAAAGGATAAATTCTTAATACAAAATATAGTATCTCACAGTAACAGGAGTAATTTCAGATAAGAACATAACACACATACTTGTGATTCCCCTTTGAACCATGTGATTTGAGGTTCTGGGTAGCCATAAACCCAAAATTCAATAGTAACTGGATGACCTCTGACACCATACATATCTTCCTCTTTGCGAAGAAATTTTGGAGGAGCAGCTTAACATAATAATAAATATATAATAAATTTACAATTTTTTTCTGATCTATACTAATAAAAGACAGATGTAAAATTTCATACTTAAAAAAATAAAAATGACACTAAATAATAATTAAGACTCCAGTAAAAAGGCATTCTTAAGAATATAGTATAATATTAAAAAAATTATCTTTAAATTTAAGAAATTTGATCACCATATTTTGTTAAAGGGGGGTGCTCTATTTCATAATCCTTTGGCTTGAAATCACTTGGCTTTGGAGGCTCATATATTTTGTTTCGGTGAGCTGTGGTATATGGTGAAGGATCACTAATTCCATGTTTATTTGTAACACGAATTTGGAATTTATAATCTTGACCTGGCTTCAGATCACGAACATCACAAAGTGTGTCTTTCAGTCCTAAAAATTCAATACAAAGTAACTTCAGAATCCTTTAAAAACTGTTACTCAAAATAAACATCCAGATTTACACACTGATAAAACTTAACATTTACATTCAAGAAGTGACAGCTCATTTTATCTGACATAACATAGGCACATATTTTGATACACAAATAAAACTGAAATGGAACTCTGCATTCTCAAAATTGATACTTTAAATTTTGAGGAATAAATCATGTTCAATCTCACAATAAATTTTTCTATTTTTATGTATTTATGTACTTTAGCAGTCTAAATAATAAGCAAAAAATAGTCTTTAACACGATTTTAATTTAGTCACTAATATTTATTTCAAAACTAATACTAAGCAAAAGAACATTATTAGGCATATGTAAATAAAATTATACTTAATGAAAATATAATGATAGTGCATTTAATATACATTGAAAAATACTCAAATATAGGTTTAAAATGCTCAATTCCTACATATATTTTGATTTTTAAAATTTAAGAATGGAAAAAATTCAAATTAAAGCTACATAAATTGCTCTTTTTGACCAACACATACAGAAGTAATAGAGTATAAGGAAATTTAAGTTGATCCGTAAAATGACAGACAGAAATTAAGAAGTATGCAGTTATTATACTTCTTAATTTCTGACTCTCCTTTTGTACAATAAAATACTTCAAGAGATGGTAGGAGAAAAAATCTTTTTTCCCAACAAAATTATCACAAAAACTTTTTGTGGCTGCAAATATTATACTGAAAATTATGCACACACATAATGTACATAACATGCAATAAAGAAATTCACTTTCTGAAAAGCAATATCTATATTTATATATATATCTATATAGCAATATCTATATTTATATATTTCACTGTAGCAATATCTATATTTATATGATGATAGTAAAATAGCTACAATGAGGATAGGAAGTAGGATAATGGTGGGCTTGTATTAAATTAAGAAATAAGGAAAGGATCTTCTGGGTCATATTCTTCAGAAAATGAGGGGGGGGAAATGAAGTTTTCCCGTCTTTAGCCTTTTTGTCCTATGATGCAATAGAAAATTTTTGTTTTTGATGTTAAAGAAAATTAACATGAACCTTTTCCCTATTCTTAACAGTTCATAAGCTAAAGATTCATTCTTATTATAAAGCTAGGTTAATTTTGGCAAAGTGCAATTTTCCCCCTTATTTTTCCTGTATCCACAATTTTTACTTTCTTCCTAATTAAAATATGCATCTCAGTTTCTCTTAAGCTTAGAAGCACTGGTAATATCACAGTTCTTATGGTTTGAAGTAAGAAATTTCTTACTACAAAAGCTGCAATAAAATGTTGCTAATGAGAGTAAGGATACTGCTAAAAGCAAAGCAGAGGAAAATCACATGGGAAAATGTGTTAAGTGCAAGACGGGAAAGACAAATGCTTTGATCACTGATAGTTATAGTCCTCTGTTAATAATTTTATAGCCATCATGAACTAAGAAAAGCACAATTTTGAGGAGTGAGCTGTAACTTGGAAATGTGTATAAGGTTCCAAAGCTGATCATTTTCATCACCTTCCCTGTTTAGTTACATTCATTAGGAAAAAGTATGCATGTTATGGAGGATGGAAGGAGACCCTGTTTCTATCTCCACAATGTACATGCATACTGTCATAATTACCATGGCAATTTAGCACTTGGATTGTTTAAGTACCTATATTTCAAAATTGACCATATGCTGAAACCAAGGATATGACTGTATATTCAAAATTTCAATATTTTAAAACTCTCTCATATGCTCTATACATATTAAAACCATTTTACAACATTATTTTATAACCTGTTTTGTATGGTACCCATTCTCCATCAGGATGAGAAGCCATTTCTAGCTGGTATGTTACTGGCACTCGAGGAGCATTAGGCACAGATGGTTTCCACCCTAATGTCAGAGAAGTATCATCCATCCGTACAATCCTTGGCTTTTCAGGTAGTGGAACTGGAATTCCTTAAATTATAGCATACAGTTTTAACATTTATGGGGGAAAAATATATATATATCCAAATCACTGATAACATGACTATTATTGAAAGTATTTAGTTCTGCAGTAATATAAAATTTGACATGACTAGAAAATGAATTTAGCCCTTTCAATTATTATAATGTTAATTTCTCAATTGTGTAATAATGGAAATCTTGATGACGTGGTTGAGATTTTTCAGACAGCATTACAGATCATTTGGTGTCATTGGTGCTAAGCAATTTTAATACTTATTTCTTTTCATTTTCTTAGTTAATTGCTAATGCAATAATATCAGAAACAAACTATGCTAACTTAACTTTTTTAGTATTAAATAAGTCTTAGAAGAAAACCAAATATAGTTTTTTTGTTGCTGTTTTTAGCCCATCAGATTTAGCAATTATTTCATACTTTTTGGATTCTGTAATTTCAAACTCAGCTTATTACAAAAGCACGAACAACTACATTCATTACAATAATCTTTTACATAAAGACTAACTTGCCATTTTTTATAATGATTAATAATAAATTAAAATTTTCTTCTCTGATCTGCCCATTAAAAATATAAACACTACAAATTACAAAAACAAATGCTAGTGACTGGAAGTAATGTTGACGCATTAAAATATGTAGCCTAGTTAGAAAACCAAATCTTTGCATAAAAAGGCAGATAAAAGTAGTCAAGTAGTAAACAAGTGATAAAAAAAATATCAAGTAAAATGTAAAGGCAGATAGAGGGTACCAAAAAAAGCAGGTTTATTAACAGATTAAATGTGCAAAAATGGTGCATTGAGATGATACACGCAACTATCAAGCTTAAGTTAAAAGCATTTGCATCATTACACGAACATAGAACTTACATTACAACTTACATGGCAGTTATTTACTTATAGGGCTGCAGATGGAAATAGAGAAGTTTCTCACAGAAATTACTTGGGCCTCATTCTTTATATCTTAATTGAGTAGCTGCTCCATTTTAGCTGAAGCCCCATGGATACCCTGCATTCATGTAATGATGCACACTGCATAAAATTTGCATATGGAATGGTGATTTATGCCAGCAAAACACTTAACAGTATTACGTAAACTTCAAAGAATTTACACAATATGCTAAATTGTGAATATAAATTATAATTTAAAGTTGATAAAATTTCTAGGCACACAAGTCATCTCTCCAATTACTTTGCTCCAAAAATTATGAAAATCATCAATAATTATTATATTTCTATAATTTTCTTTTAAAAAGCATTTTATATTACCATTTTAAATAACTTGAAAACTGAAGTTCTAGAAATGGTATTTCCTGTTTCTAGAAATTATTTCCCAAATGCTACTATGATAAACTTTGAGCAACTAAAGCAATTATGCTTTCCTCTGCAACTTATATTTGTGGCCACAATAGTAAAAATTAATGTATGACATACTTTTTCAACTGCTTTTTACTAATGTATAAGTTATGCACATTATATAAAATGGCATATTTTAAACAAAACTCATGCTTTTCATAAATTAAGAATATAGTTCAATAGATGCAGTTCTCATTAAGTAAAATATATTAAAAAAAACAACTGTACCTGTTTTTTTGAACTTTTCAAAATCAACAAATTGATCACCAATTGGAGTTATAAATTTCATATCCAAGCCTATGGGAGAAAAAGTTTCATCAAATAAGCAAAATAACTAAGTTGAAATATTCATATTATATATAAAATGAAAACGTAAAAATAATTTTAAAAATTATGTTTTGGAATTCAAAAAGTGATTTTTAGAACATGATTAATCTGAACTACATACTCTAATCAATCACATGCAGTGTGTGCTCCTGTATGATTAAAAATCACTATGCTCTAAAAACCTAAAAGCTTACTTTGGGTGGAGTCTTATGCAAAAGCTGCATTTTATAATTCTTGTTTTAAAAGTTTTTATCTTAATACTTTAACGTTTTAATCTCAATATAATTTTATTATAAAGGAAAAAAAAAGTTGCCTATATATAATGCATAAGTTGAATTCATTTTGATTTTGCAACTATTTACTGCAGAAACCTAGCTTATTTTACTTCAACTCTGTTTATTATACTTTAATTAAGAAGTATTAGAGTTAGTCTTTCTTAACTGAAATCACTGCATCATCTACATGAGTGACAAATTTACTGTCAGTGAATGAACTTTGTATCATAATATGATTAACAAAATCCTAGCATTGTGTCGAATATAGCATGGTGGGCGAAGATGAGCAAAGTTGTAAAGTTTATCTTATTATTCTCATATTATGTTCAACATCATTGCAACAACAACAACAACAATGGGGGGGGGGAAAGAGAATTATAAAACAAGAAATGGATTATTGAATAAGCTTTAACCCAACCAAAGATGAAAATTATGCAATAGTTATTTATTGCTCTGTTGCACTCACCATGGTCAATATTTTATAAATACATTCCTTGTAATGCTAGCACATTTATATTTTTTATGGCTTATAGAAATAATATTATGTAAAATTTTAATTCTTTTGTGATAAATTAAGATTGATATGACAAACTGAAAATATTCCAACATTGCAGAGGTGTGTGAATACAAGTGCACAATATCTTGATGAAAAAGAAATTGTTAAAAGAAGTAAGCAAGAGGAAATGGCAAAGAATTAAAACCAGAAGTTCCCAGACACTTATATGTGCATCATGGTCTGTAGTTGAGAGATAATGACAGCACTAAAAGCAAGGAGGGTGGAAAGTTACAAATTTATTTGGTAAAGTTTTATACTGGGAAGTGAATTCCACTAAAATTACAGTAATCATAACCAAAATGAATCAGAAAATTATATCAGATTTTAATTTTTATATGTGAAAGAAAAAAAGGAGGGAAATGATTTTTATGCTTTATCTAATAAAATTCAGACATGTTGCTACAAGTGTTTGAATTCTGCATACAAAGTGTTCTTCATAATTTTATCATTTTCTGTCTTGAGTTCATTCTCACTTTATCACATCTGAATTGCATATATTTTGGAAAAAATTGCTCATATATTAAATTCTAACTTTGTTGAATAAACTATACACTATTTTTATGTTATTTGCTTCTAAGTTGTGATTGCTTCGCTGTTTTATAGTTCTTGGCACATTGCAAAAGTTGACATATTTCGAAGAATTTCTTTTTTTTTTTTTTTTTTGAAGAAGTTGTATTCCATAAAAAAATTGTGATAATACAAAAAGAAAACTCCACATTAGGTTGAATCCACATTAGGTTGAGCCACAAACTCAACCTAATGTGAATGAGAGGGTGATAAATTACCTTGTTTTGGAAGGAATCTCAGACTAAGATGCTAGGGATCTTTAACTAAGGTAGGACTAAATTAATATTCTAAAGGCAATTAAATATATCATTTGGAAAAAAAAGGGGGGGTAAAAATTTTAATGAATTTTGTTTTGCTGAAAGAACTAACCATCTGTCTATAATAATAAGAACCAATTAATGAATTGCTTCATTGATAAACATACTACTGTTATTGAAAAAAACAAAAACTTCTGCAAAAAATCCATTAATTAATTAAACTAAATGGACTAAAATTGCTTTGCTGGAGACATTAAGTCTCTAGCAAAGCAATTTTCTGTTGAGGATATTATTTTGATTAAAAATTCCATACTGCTGTTGATTCCATTGAGTGTTAACATGAACAGAATCTGATACTTCAAGGTCTGTATTAAAATTAAATGCATTCTAAATTAGAAACCTTGATTACTTCAATGAAAAATTTCAAAAATTATTTTAAATATAAAAGATGCTGATTAAGCGATATATATTAAATTAGAGATCAAACCGAAGATTATAAAAAATAAAATTAATTTCTGCAAATTATGGAATAATATAAAATATACCATAATTTATTCCTTAAGATTTAAAATTTGGAATAATTTTGATTAAATCCATATAATCAAAAAGGCAAAAATAAGACAAAGAAAGAATTCAGAAGATAGTGAAACAGAATCAGCCAAAGTTAATCTTATTTTCTGCGCACCTGGTTAGAAAACAGAATTTGAAAAATGCAAGCTTTGAAGAAACAAAACAATACATATTGTGAAACTTAATATATAAAGCAGAGAAACTTTCCAGATAACTAAAAATTTGATTAGATTGATACACCAGTTAACTGTGATCAGCAAATACAGTACAACACCACAAACTCAACCTAATGTGGATGAGAGGGTGATAAATTACCTAAAAATATAAATTCTTGCAGAGAAGGAGATAGGTTATTCACAGCTCATATTTCCTCCAACATATAAATCCATGACAGTTTTATTAACAGTTTCCCCTTTATCCCATCTTTTTAGGCATCTATTAATTTCCATTGTAATGTTAATTCTTCCCTGGCTTCTTATTCAAAATTTTGGTTTGTATACTGCGGGGGGAGTTCTATATCTCCCATTCTACTGGGCCGACTGACAAAATTCAAATTGTGGTTTTCATGTCTCGAAAACGCGACTTAAGATATATTTAGATTTATATATAGCATCGTTCTAACATAGGTATTTTGATTTAGAAGTCAAACAACAAAAATCAGCATTATATTTTCAAATTTTCACACTGTCTAAATTAATATTTGTTTAGCGTGTTATTGTATCTTAATTATAGGTATTTTGACACAAAATCAGACTTTTTCGAAATTAACATACCAATTTTTTTTCCATATTTCGATTCAATGACTCAAATTATGCCTAGATATTAAATTTTGTAAAATTTGGTGCGAAATTTACGGAGAAAATCAAAAATTTATCTTGGCAAAATTTTTTCAGTTTACGCCAAGAATAATTCGGTTGGCGAACTTCTTAATATGTGGCAACTTATTTACCTTTCCCTTCCATTATGCAGGAGCGGAAAAAAAGGCACCTCGCTCCTACCTAAAAAGGTAGGAACAAGGTGCCGTTTTTACTTCCAAGTAATTTTAGCAAAGTGTCTAACCTACATTTGATGTTTTATTGCTTTCAACAAATGTGCCACATTTCAAAATGGGGCAATGTATAAATTCACGTATATCTTCGGAAATTTTGAATAAAAAAACTGTATTTTTTTTTTTTTCTTTGCAGGCATGCTTAGAAATACGTCAACTTTAAGATGATGGCAAAAATTTTATAGATTATAATTCAAAATTTTTTTGAAAAATTATTTAAAAATAAATCATAAAAAATTGGGCGAGTTTCATTTGAAATGAACCTAAATTTCGAAATGTGAAAGGAAGAATCAAATAAGTTTAATAAAAAAAAAAAGAGATTAATAAATATATACCAAACTCAAATGCAGCACAACACTTGCAATACTGAGAAACTCTATTCAAAGTGAGCTGAAAGTTTAACATATAACTGGTTACAGACATAAACCTTCAAGAAAACCTACTAATAGTGAATAGCAGAAAAAAATATGAGTAGCAGTAGCAGTCAACAGTGGCTACCTGACTTTCTTTTCAGATATTTTATTATTGAAAAAGGAAATGGGTGGGTTGGCATTTCCTCAAAAAGAACAACAACTAAAATCAAATTCATATATAAATTTAATTATACAGGTTTCAAAAAAATCGTCGCATAAAGGGAAAGAGACAAAAATTGCAAATTTAGACTACATAACAAATCAGAACAGAAGAGGAACCCAGACTTTAATAATCATAAATATGTACTGTAAATTACTACAATATAGTAATTAAAATGTACTTACACTGTTCACACTATAAAGGCAATGTTAGAAATTATTATAGTTACTAATAAAACAACCCAATTTTTTCCAAAGATAAAGTCCTGTTTGAATACCATAAATTATTTAACAATTAAAAAAATATTGTCAAATTATACAAAATGTTAAGTATTTGGGAGTACAGTTTACGAGATTCTACTGTACTAGATGAGAAATACTAAATAATTTAATAATTTTGATTTATCCTTTTTCCCTTCAGTATTATTAAATTTTGTACTTTTCAATTTGTATTTAAAACACAGAAACTCTGTAAATGTTATCATGCAAAATTTGCGGAAAATAAAATACTGATCTAAAAAAAAGTTTTGAAACATTCTCCAAACCTGAAAGATTTTGTTCTATTCAGATTTCTTTGTGGAAATGTATTAACAACCTGTACCATAAAAATGATAAATTTCTGTTAATAATGCTTTAGATTCTATTTTATGTAATAAGATATTTCTGTTTAGCCAAAAATTTAAGACCTGCACTATATACGAAATCATTCATTAAATACTTCAATAAATCATTTGCGTATAAAAAGTACAAACAATAAAATTTAAATTAATATTTAATTGACCAAATCAAACTTTGTGATATTGTGAATAAATCTTGTTGAATATCAGTTCATCTATAGCACAAGATGATAATGGAAAGAGTTAAAGTATTAAAGACTCCCCCCCTTCTTTCTTTTTATTCAGTTCAATTTATTTATTTTAGTTCATTTAAATTGGTCGCTAATTTAATCTAATTTAGAAATAATTTACTGTAAGTTAATGCAAAGAAATCTGTGTAAGTACTTACAAAACTTTCATAGTTATATATTCATGTAATTAAAAATTAAGCATATTTCAAGTATGTATTTACAGATAGCATAAATTATGACCAGCTCTGTTATTTATGCCTTTAAAATTAAACAGTAAAATAAAACTCTTTTTCAAAATCTAGTAACATATCTCTATAATTTGATATTCAAATTGCTATTGTAGACATTGTGTATTCCACAATTTCAAATGTGCTTGTATAAAAATTTTACCAGACAGCCTTAATCAGAAGATTTAAAATATTTAACTGTGTGCAGAAATAATAACTTGAAAGCCTGATGAGCATAATAATATATAGAATTTTGTTCAAGTTTTGTATGTTATGTTATGGAATTAACAGTGTTGTCAAAGTAATGATGCTATAAAAAGAAAATAAGTCAAATAGAGAGTATATAATTCAAAGAGCTCACCAAAACAAAAACATTCACAAAAGCCATGTGTTTAAATTGCCAAATTGATTATAGCAGTGCATTATTATGACAACACTGCCTTTTTTATAAAAAAATTACAAGCAATAAATTAAGCAACACCATTCTCATATCATGTAACTTTAATTCTCGTCAAAGAAAGTTACAACCAAAAAACAGTCCAATTTACTATTACATTGGTAAAAAAGATAAGCAAAATAAAGAATAATTTAGTCTATTAAAATATACACATTTGCTAGAAAAATTAAGCACATATAAAGGAAAATTATGAGAAAATTTATATGGAGATGTGAATTAAGCATAGAGAATATGCACAAATCATGCAAGAATTTCATTTTGGTGAGCTCTATGAAATTGTAGAAACCAAAAATTTAAAATGTCATAGAGATAAAAGTTGCATTATAAGCTATTATTTTAAGGTTTGAAAAAGCTCATTTGTTGATTGAAATGTTAGAATAAGAAGATAGTTAAATGGATATTAAGTATTTTAGGTAAAGTAAATTAAAAAAAAAAATAAATCTATCTTTTGAGCCAGAAGGTTAAGCAGGATCTAAAAATGCACTATGTAAAATAACAGAGTTCATTCTAGGTCTAGAAAAGAGCAACAGAGAGAAAAAACTGATATTTATTTGATTGAAACTATTTTTAATATTCAGGTATAAAAACTTACATTTTGAAACAAAAGAAAGTTATTTTATTAATACGTGCACTCCATATTTTGCAAAATAAAACATGTTTTTATTCTTTTTTAGAGCACAAAGTACTCTGCTAAATTCAGCTTCACCGATACAAATTTAAGTGTAATGATATAAATTTACAAAGAAATAAAATGTTCCCAAGCTTAAAATAATGTGCTAACGCAAGTTTGGATAAATTGTGTTGCCTAACAAAAGCATCTAGAATGAATGTCTTAATCTAGAATGAACTCTGAAATGCAGGCAGTCTAGGTATAACATGTTTAAAGATAAACATGTGATGATTTAAAATTCAAATACAAAATATAGTACAACTAAGAAGTATATACATTAAATCCATGTGACATCGCTGTCAAGCATGAACAAGAGGAACTAATCTAAATGAAACATTATTTAAATAGTTTGATCTTTACAATTCTACATGACTAAAGGTATACATATCTTACAAACTAAACATGTGGAACTGTGGGAGTAAAGTTTAATAATGAAATAAAATTGGCGAATAATAATAAAAAAAAAAAAAAAAAAAAGGCCAAAAAGTAACTTTGAATATTTATAGTCTAGAATATCAATCCCTTCTTAAAGATAAATTTATTTCTTTCACTGAAAACTGTACCTAACTGATATTGATTTCCATGGAGTAAATTGCTTTAATAAACCTTTATGTTTATCTCTGCGTAATTACTAAAATGTTTCCTTGTGGTATTTATATCAGTCTGCTTTTTTATAAAAGCCCAATTTGAAATGAAACATTATGGTAGTGTAATGTGAAAATCCATTTGTATAACTATTAAACAGCATGAAAAGTATGCAGTTATAAAGATATATGATTCACAAATTAGGATAAGAATTTTCTTTAACTCCACCCCATAAATTTTCATTAAAGTGACTTAATTTCAATCAAAGTCATCATGAATTTCTAAAACAAATAAAATAGATCAAATTAATTAAATGAAACTATTTGGCAGAATATGAAATAACTGTTATATAATTGTTACAAAATGAATAGACACTGTTGATGCACATGATATGGGATAAATTTTGATGCATAACAACAATGTGTGTTTCAATGTTTTTAACAATCTAAATCAGCATTAATACCCTTTAAAAGCCATTTGTGCAAAAATCATGTCAGCACTAAAATCATTACTGAGGACAGATTTTTATACTAGCAAAAAGTATTTTTCAGCTAAATTAAATTTTAGCTGTTTTCATGACATCACAGTATTCACAATTTCATTCAGAACTCTCCACCTATCTCCTTCCCAAACAAACAAATAAATAAAAACGAAAATGCAAAAATGATCTTTCTCTCCACATCCACCTCTGTAAGCAGAGTGATGTTAGTATCTACTAAAAGACAGAAAGTTTGATTTTTTTGGGGGGGGAGGAAGGACTAAATTTTTTTTATGTGTTAACAGTTTCACCTTTACAGTGAAAAAATATAACATAAAAAATAAAACACTAAATCACTATAACAAAGACTGCATTTGACTATTGTTAACTTTTACCCTAAGCTGAAAACCAGTCACACTAATAAAATCAACTTTAAAATTTAAATGAATAAACCTGTTTTTATGTAACTGTCAAAATAAAACAGAAAATATTTTTTTTAAATATTTAGTGTTTTTGTTTGACAACTTTGTAAAACTTCCAAAACAAAAAATAAATAATATGGTACAATGAATGTGATTCTAGATTATAGTTATTGTTATTTGTTTTAGATTAAAAATTTATAGTACCTCAAAATATTAACATACAAAAGAAAATTGTTTATCTGCAGCACTTGTTTAAGTACTGCAATATTAAAATTAAACAGCAATACTACAATATTCAAAAGTTACAATTAATTTTTCTACATACATAATAGTTATAAGTTAAATGATTCAGCAAATTTCAGAATGCTGCTGTTAAAAATATCATTGCTCTCACAGTTCCATCTGTGCTTTCTGAAAAGAAAGATTGATCCCTTAATTTTAATAATGGAATACATTATTCATCACTGCACTTGCAATTAACTGTACATTTATACAAAAAGCCTTCTACTTCTGTCAGTTTATTTTCTGACAAACAATAGAATTCGGGTGGCATCATAAATGCAATAAGAAATGCAAGGGCACAAATAGCACCCAAAACCACAAGGAGAACAGTTTTAGGAGTTAAAATGTCTAACAGATTATCCTTACTATCCGGACATAGTTTTGCACTACTTGTTGCACTTCCATGGATGTTAGATATTGTTACACTGTAGGTTCCATAATCAGAGGCTTCTACATCCCGAATGATTAATCTGAGTATTCCAGTTGATTCAAGTTCCATTTTATGCCTTGGGGATGGTTCCAAAGGTTTTCCTTCTCTTACCCTAAAAATAATGGAAAATCATTCTTAAATAAAGTATGAAACAAATATTTTTAGAAATATGAAATTTTTAAAAATATACTTTCAAACTAACATTTGATAACTGTTTAATATTTGATAACATATATTGGAATGAAATATAAAATACTTAACACTCTTAAAAAATTTCAATATTTTAAAATAATGCAATGTAAAAACAAATATCTATCACCAAAATAAAAATGATGCTCATAACTCATTCATTATATTACTCAGTAATTTTATTACAAGAGACTCTGTTATCATAACTAGCTTCTTAATATTTTTGGGTTATTGTATCTAATTATTTTCATCTGATGCGCTACAATTTGCTGATCAACTTATGGAGGGGAGAACAAAAATAATGCATTCACTATCATATTTAAAAGCAAAAAGAACATTTTCTTTTTTATAGTAAGCTAGTTAGTTGTGCCCTTTGGCTTTAAGAAAGAAAAAAAAAGCTCTTACAAGGTGTTCTATTAAACTAATCAAAATTATAGTTCCACATAGTCCTTAGTACTGAAATATATATATAAACCACGGAAATGTTAAGTACTACAAAAAAGAAATATTACAATTCTATATCTAAATGAATACAACATAAGAATAAATTAAAATATCACAGATATTTACATGACAGTTAGTCTTAGTTAGTGAATTTTATCTATTTCACAAGCTACAATTTAGCAACTTTAATAACAGTCTGCTTTTGTAACAGTTTACACTATATCTTTCCAATTTACTATTGAAAGAGTGAAAAACCCAGACATTTAACAAATGCTTTTTACTTTAAACTTTCACACACAGTGGTATTTATATCACTTTCTACAGAGTACTGGAATTTTTCATGTGTAGTTCCCCAAAACACATTTAGAGCTGCAGGTATGGCAAATTCCCATCTCATAAACAAATATGACTCTTTGTAAAAATATCTTGATCATATATGTCAGTTGAACATACCAATGAAGTATGGTCTGCTGTCATGACTAGTGACCGCCTCTAAATTTGCTCTGATCTTAATAATGGTGCAGATGGTAATTCATCAGAGGATACTAACTTTTTGCTGATTTCTAGACTTTGCTGGGTTGCCAAAGAGAGAAGAGTGGTTGAAAAACCAAAGTGCAGAATAGGATTATAAAAAAATTATTGCAACAAAACAATTTTAGGTATAATTACACTCAGCTTATTATTTTTAATACTAGGTCATCCATAAAATTTCGTGAGATTTTAAATTGAAGAGTGTTTTCTACTAATTATTTTGTTGCAGTGATAAATAGTGACTTTGACTGAAGCTGATGTTTAAATGCAGGCTTTCTGCTCACATTGCATAATTCTAGCAGATGTTATGGCATATTTTTTGTTTCAGTATAGTGCTAAAAATGGAGAACCCAAAACTGCATTTTTGATAGATTATGCCCTCTTATTTTAAAAAAGGAAAAAATGCTAGTCAGAAAGCTCGTAAAATTTGTGCTATGTAAGGACAAAGTGCTGCTTCTGAGAACACTATTCGAAGGTGGTTTGAGAAGTTAAGCCATGCAAATTTCAGGCTTGCAGGTAATACCTGCTCTGAATGACCATCCTCTGTAAACAAGGACTTATTAAAAGAAGCTATCACTGAAAATCCACACTATATCATTCAAAAAATATCAGAGAGAATAAATCAAGACAGTCAAAGTATCAGACAGAGATTCCAAAAAGTATAGTATGTGATCATCTGAAGAAGATATGGTATGTCAGCTACTATGATGTATGGGTAACGCATACTTTAAAATAGAAGAGAATATGCTTGCTTGAATTTTATTATGCGAAAAAATACAGAAACTTCTTTTCAGAAAGGACTCATTATTGGAGATGAGAAGTGAATACACAATACTGTTACAGAAAAGAGATCCTAAGGAAAGTCAAAAGGAATTTCTTTAATAAAATCTAGAGCAGAGGCAGGCAAAAGCAAGCCTAACTCTAGAGCAAGGATGGGCAAACTACGACCTGCAGGCCAGCTCCAGCTTGCTGCAAATTAAAAAATACATTTACAAATTATGATATTACTATATAATATTATAAATTAAATATTACTCTATTACTATACAATATATAATATATATATATAGTAATATGAGCTCTTGTATAGAGCTCATACAATATATATTATATATTGTATAGACTCATGCCAAAACAGAAAGCGATGTCACATGATTGGTGCAGAAAATGAGTTCATGTAGAAGAAGTCTGTTATTGCATTTCACTGACATTTACCTGCACATTTTAAGCTCCACCCAGTGCCTTTCTGTTGGGGCAAGAGCTCAGACAAGTATAACAAGAGTTGCATTTCTCCCTGAAAATTTCTCAGAAAGTTGGATTTGTTGATAATCTTCCTAAACGAATAAAAGTTTTTTCTTTTTTCTATTTTTCTAAGTTTTCAAAAGTTGATTCAGAGGGTCACTCTTTTTAAAGAAGAATGGACCTGGGTTTACTCCTTTACAATTGTATGGTATAAACCAGTGGATCTTATCTGCAATAGAGCTATAGCAATCTTCAAAGAATATAATATTTCCCAACATTTTGCATCAAGGCATAAGAATTCCTGTACAAAACAATGTGCCCAGAAATGAAAGAAAACAAAAAACATAAAATTTTTGTAAAGAACTATCAGGCAAACAATTTTTTATTTATTTATTTATTTATTTATTTATTTTTTAGTAAACAGTATCCAGGAAGTAGTTACACATGGAAGTTACATTATAGTATAACACTATTGCTAAATGTGATAAAAGCTCTGTGATGGGGAGTTCGTTACACAATACATGCTCTGTTACATCCAGACATATAAAAGGATTCTGAGACTGTAAGCTTATCTTGAAAAATAGTTGACTTGAAGCCATCAATAAATAGATGGCATCACAGAGTCAAAGATTGGCAAGTTTAAATTCTGTCCCATAGCTATGGATGAAAACACTGATATAAATGATACTGTTCAATTAGTATTATTTATAAGAGCTAATAATGAGAACTTTGAAATTACCAAGGAATTGCATTCATGTGGTCGTTAAAAGGAACTACTATGGGCTCTGATATTTTTTGTGAATTTCTGGAAGGGCTTTCAACATAGAAAGTACATATGACAAACACGTAATATGGCACTCTGTAACAAATATATGTAATATGGAGACCTTACATGACAAGAAAAAAATATAGATTTCTTGAACTCTAATCAAAACTATCCCTCGAACAACACTGTCTTTCTATATAGTGTTATATATAAATTAGTTATAATTTTCAAATGAAAATATTAAAAAATTCCTTTTTTGATAAATAAAAAATAACATTGGAATGTACATTGCATTAATTTCCAGGTTTTTTGCAATTCTTACTATTGTTTTATTAATTTAAATTTGCTGAAGTTTATTTACCCTAATAATAACTGACAAATTTAAAAACATAATTAAAGCAGTTTTCAAATCCGTATACCCAATTTGGCGCTCCTTCTAGTGATTCACATGAGGCAAGTGTCTCACTTGCCTTACTCTTGTCCCAACTTTGAGTAGCACTCTTACCATCATTTTGCCATTCTCATTAGGCAGAAATGCAAAATTTCTTTAACAAAGAAATGTTAAAAAATCCTGCACTTATAGCAACTATGATACTGGTAAATAATATATAATTAAATTTGAAAAATTAAATATTAATAAAATTTAAATATGTTGCTACAATTTTTTTAAAAATTGACTATTACCTCAATATTTTAAAAATAACCAAGACTTTAAAATTACAGAGCTACTATAATAAAAGACTTAAAATTGCTGCATAGTATACTTATCACACTTTTCAACAAATGGAAATGAAATCCAGGTTTTTAATTTGAAAAATAAGTTATTAATCACAAGGGAAGTTATATCATAAAACATCATTATCATTCATGAATCATTTCTTATTAGAAAATTTATTTAAGTTCCTAACGCATATAATATAAACAATCATTTTTAAGAGTGTTTTTAATATTTTCATTAGGCATCCTTTTACAAATGTTGACCTATAAAGATATATGCTCTTTTTCACACAAAACCCTCATCTTCCTTTTAATCTCTCTCTCTCTATATACTACATACTACATATAAAGACACAGGTTTGTAATAGATTCATCAGTGTTTTGATATAGTAGTTAAATTTTTGCTCTCTACAACACATATAAATAATCCTGAAATAATAATACCCATAAATGTACATTTATATAAATCAAAAATGAAGATAATATATAGTATTATATAATAGAAAATAAATTTATGTTATTTAAAGATTCCTTAAAAAAGATTTTAAAGGAAGATTTTAAAAAATTTCTCAGAGATAAATTAAAAACTCGCTCTGATACACTATCATTGAAAAATTCCACTGTAGTTTATTATTTTCTGTAATAAACTGGAATGAGATTTAGGTGGAATAGAGAACTATAACAGTTATTAGTTTCTAAAATAAACTCTATACATATTCAGGGAAACGAGTATTTTAAAAATGCACTTTTTAGTTGAGTCGGAACAAAAAATTCTAAAAAATATATGTAAATCAGAGGATTTACTTACAATTAATTATTTAATGATTTTGTGAAATAAAATATTTATAAAGCTATCATAATTAGTTCTTTAAGGATCTTCATTAGCGTAATAATATTATTTTACAGCGAGAAGAAAATTCTGGAAATGGCATGTAACATTTATAACAGCAATTTAAGCTAGTCATATGTGTCTGTCTGAAATTAAGTGTTTGTACATAACAAAGACATAATATATTAAAGTATTGTTATTCATGGAGAAGATGTCTATTTTTTACTCCTCAATTCTTTTTTACATTTATATGGAACCAAATTATTTGCATATATTAGTATCTAGTACCCTCATAGTTAGATAGTCTATGTAAATAACCAGAGAATTAGTCATTATTTTTAGAACTAATGGTTGGTTTCTTCTTTGATTATGAAGACATCTCATTTGACTACTGAATATTTGTAATTCAGAAATATATTGCTTGCTAACAATCATTGCTTCTGTCACCATTATTTTTTATTATTATTGGCAATATAATATTCCTGATTAGCCTCACATGTACAAATGCATGCATAAGTTAACAGATAGAATGTACCATCACTCTCCATCTATCACATAGACTGCAAGCCTTGCAAATGATAAACGTCAGTGTCAGATTACTACTTACTGACTGGAGAAACATATGTGCACTGCAAACATATTGCTATAATAGAAACAGGGCTTTACACCTACATTACAAACAAATGCTGTAAAATATCCAGTAGCCAGCAGACTAGTCTCATGTAACAGAAACAAAGTTAGAAAGTATGAGATAAGAAAAGATTTCTTGCTGAAACTGCTTTTTTTAGAACTTTTCTACAGAAGTTTTTTACTTACTAAGTTATTCCTACAACCTTTTACCTTTTAAAGTGCATTTATATGCCTTTATATAAAAATTAATGCTTCAGACACTAGTGCATAAATTCTCTAAACCTCAATGTAAATGCTTTGTGCATTAATGACTTAACTCTCTGTGAGTCTGAATTCAAATGCAACTGGAATGCCTTTTCATTATTTACATATTTTTTATTTTGTACTTTTGCGGATTCTTTTAATACTTTACCTGTAGAATTATTTTTTTCTTTTATGAATGACTGTGGATGAGGAGAACATGCGCACTGATAAAATTTTAGTAACTTGAATGCTGCTTAATGAGAAATTTTAGCGCAAGATACAATTTGCACAGTGCTTTTACAAAATCCAAATCAAAACTTTGAAGCTTGAACTGCCCCTTTAAAATTACATTTCAGGTCCTACAAATATGTGATACACTTTTGTAGTCTGGGGGGGGATGTCACTTCTCTAAGCAACATATAAAGTCACTATTTGTAATCTCTCAGTACATACAAGCACTGTTAATGCTCAATGGTACTACTCTCAAATTTGAAGAGGGTCATGTGCTTATGAATATAATTGCCATCCACTTAAATAGAGACCTGCATCCCAGGAAACAGCATTTATAACATTCCATGACAGTGACGTATTTTTATAGTATGCACCTAATAGTTTTAAAATATAAAAAAGAATGATTATTTAATAATTTTAATTTGTATTACTATATCTCGTTAGTCTTATTTTTTTAAAAATGTAGTAGGTCCTCGATCACTAAAGCGTTAGCATAAATCCTAAGAATAAAATTACATACTGCATATTCCGGTGTATAATGTGCACCTTTAATTTGAAACTACATTTTTTAACTTTTAGGTTATTTGGTGCATAATGCACACTCTTTTCTTTACAAAGAAATATGAAAAATACATGTACAATGCTCTTATCTTCTGAGTCATTCATTCGAAGACTTTTCCCAGGCTTTTGAACAAATGTTCCAAACATTCTCCTGCCAAATGAAACAAACACATAGTCGGTTTCAAATGCAAAGTCATTCAATAGGCGAAAGAAAATGGAAATCATATTGCAGCAATGATGTTTGGTGCTGGGAAAGCTCCATATGTGAATGGAAGAAAAATGAAATGATAATAATTAATATGGCAAAGAATAAATGTTCTTTGCATAATGGAATAACAAAATGACCTATCCTAGAAGAATATGTTGTGAATTTGGTCTTAGAAAATCACCAGAATAGATTAATTGTAACAAGAAACAGCATATATTTATTATTTAATTACCTTAAAGTGAGCAAAGAAATAAAAAAGTGAAAATGAAAACTTCAAAGCAACTTTGAGTTGGTGTAGTCGATTTATGGCATGGAATAATTTAGTTCTATGAGAAAAAAAAATACTATTCACAAATGGTTCCAAAAGTTTCCAGGAGTATGTTATTGATTTACAAAAGAAAAAAAAATAATTTACTCGTACATATTGGAAACATGGATTAAACTCCAGTAATGTTTGATATGACAGAAAATAAAAAAAATTGATGCAAAAGTAATAAAAACAGTTAACAGGCCATGAAAAATCTTATCTCACCATAGTGCTTTGCTGCTCAGCAGACAGTATAAAATTAAAATCCCTGGTTATTTTTAAAAGAGAGATGATGTCAAAATGTATTTCCCAGATGGTGATTCACAAGAAAGGATGGCTGGATGAAAATGGTGTGAAATTGCAGATAAGAAATATTTCTCAAAAGCATTCTGTTGCCTTAAAAAATCTAGTTTTAGTTTGAATATATTAGACTATATAAGTCTTTTAGTTTGGATATATTTGGATCCCGTCTAACAGATAATAGGAAGAAATAATTGAAAGAATGATACAGACATGGCAGTTATTCGAGGTGAAATAATACCATTAGTTCACCCTTTAAATGCATGTATTAATAAAACATTCAAAGAAAATTTTTAAAACCTTGGAATACATGGATATTAAAAGGTGGAAAAACATTTACAAACGGAGGCCAAATGTGTCCTGCTAGCCTAGAAATAGTGTGTGAGTGGATAAAAGCATGGAATGAAATTAAAGCCGGCGTAATTCAAAAGTAATTTTTAAAATGTAATATACCTAACTATCTAGATGGAACAGAAGATGATTATTTATTTATGGATCAAAATATTAGTGATGGTGAAGGTGAAACAAAATTCGATGATGTACCTGAATATATAACTGAAAATGAATATGGCAATTTTTTTATGTTATCCAATAATGAAAATGTTTATGTTCATAAGACATGTCATTTCTTTTAAATAAACAGCATTTATGTACATGCAGAAATCTAACTTCTGTATGCTCATCATTTCCTTATTTTTATATCTATCATTTTTATATTTAACATATAATGCATACCCATAAATTTCTATCTTATTTTTTGTACTAAAAGCACACGTTTTATGCTGGAATATGTAGTAATTCATTCTGAAACTGACCCATGGATTTTGTCTTTTAGTAAAATTATTGCTGTAGTTATAACAGCATCGATTGTTATTCTCAAAATTTATTTAATATAAAGTTTTACTATACTACATCTTTTACTCTATAGTATACCTATTATTCCAGTAACTTTTCCAAAACACATAATTATGAAATGACTGAATGCCAGCTGAAAGCTAAATTTAGCAGTTACAGTTGGTTGTACTCTAATTTAGCGATATATAAATCTTGTTGCAGATCACTAGTGACTTAAGTCTGATAAAAATCGCAGAGTAAATTAAAAAAAAAAAAATAGTGATACATGGGATACATGTAGATCATTTTCAGATTGTAGATGTTTTACAGGTTTATAGATGCCTTTTAGCATTTAACAGCTTCCTGAACTAAAATTATATACAATAATAATAATAATAATAATAATTTTCTCACCAGTTCACATCAGGAGTTGGAATGCCAGTGATACAGGCTGTGAATTTTGCAGTCATGCCTTCCATAACTTCATTGTCACCAATCTTTTTCAAGAACATAGGAGGTTCACCTTTCTGAACTTTGTCACTACAATTTCAATAAATGATTATAATAGTAATGCAACAATAGTTTTAAAAATTTTTAATTAAAATTCTCATAAATACAATTCATATGCTGAAAAAATATCCTCTATAAATAAAGCTATATTCAAATTTTTTAATTTATCAAAACAGAGTGAATAACTCATAAAACACACAAAAAACATTTTAAATTCAACAGTTTACAGAAATTTGTATGACTTTTTATACATATTTAATTGGAGTATCATAAAAATTTTAAACATATTAAGTACTTATGAATTTAAAGAATGTTTGATATTATTTTCTACCTTATGTTAACGGCAGACATAGTATGATCTTCACCAACAGAATTTCGTGCTTTGCATTCATAAATTCCAGTATCACTAGGTTCACAATGCTGAATATGCAAAGTATAAACATCTCCAAATCTACTAAAGTTGTATTTTGAGTTACTAGGTGAAATCAGGTCTCCATTGAAATACCAATCAACTTCTGGTTCTGGATATCCAGTTACTTTGCAGGTTAACTTTAGAGGTTGATCCACAAAGCCCTAAGTTAATTTTCAAATAAATAAATAAGTATAATGATAATCAAGTATACATAAATGCAGCATTTTAAACATTTATTTATCAAATGTATTATCTTTGTGATAACATATTCATATAAAAAAAGACATGAAAGTATACAATACCACTTTGAAGGAATCGAGATTAAAAAAATATGATTAGTAGTAAAAGAGCATGCAGCAGTTTATTTTTATGCAATAGGTATTCCTCACTGTCAGATGAAATGACTTTAATTGATTAAGACATAACAAAAAAGATTCTTTGCAATAATGAGTAAAAACAAAGAAGATACTCCGATAAAATTTCAGATAAAAATGCAAGAGTTTTGCAAACCAAAGCTTGCATCAAATGAATCATAGCACAACTATTGATTAGAATAATTATTTGAGAAAGGTATACACCAATTCCTTGCTATTTTATCCTAACCTTACATTTTATAGATGCAATAAAATTGTAGAAATTTATGGAAACTCATTCACAAAAAGAAAGAAAAAAAAGAAGAGATAGGCCATGTTCTCTTCCCCCCCCCAAAAAAATGGGTTTTTAGAGCATTTTGCCACAGTACTGGAGAATGTTTCTAGTTGCTATTTCCAGTCAAAATACATCAGTATGGCACTGAAAATATATGATATAGCTTTAACGTAAAAGTACCCAAATTTCTACATAAGTATGAAATTTTCAAATATAAACCATGCACATATACTTTATATGAAATTTGCCTTAGTTAAGAAAGTAGTTTAGTTTCAAATTCAAAACAGCTTGTAAAAATTTGTTACAATGCTAGATTAATTCAAATATACATCACTGTATCATTTTTATTCAGCTTATAAATGCATAACTGCTCAGCAGACAGTATAAAATTTGCTGCTCAGCAGACAGTATAAAATTTGCTGCTCAGCAGACAGTATAAAATTAAAATATATGCTGTTTATATTTAATTTTATACATTATTTATGTTTCATTTTTATTCGCATTAGCAGTACTAGCAATACTAATTGAGGTGATATACTAATGTGTATATGTTTATGTTCATGCATGTGTTGTGTATACAAGAAAAGAAATAAAAAAATTTCTGCCTCACAAATAAATCCCTATTCATAAAAAAAAAAAAAAAAAAAAAAAAAAAAAAAAAATCCATTAGGTGAACTCACCACCTAAAATGTAAAAAGATTTTTAACAAAATAAACAAAATATTCCTTAAATAGAAGTAGATCTAACATGATTATGTTTAATCAATAAAAGCAAATAAATATACATGTATGAATAAGATTAAATAATATTTTCTTCATCTGATTTTATTGATCACTAATTATAATCATGCTAGGTTTATTCCCATTTAAGGAATATTTTGGTTATTTTGTAAAAGTTATTTTTGCATTTTAGGTGATGAGTTCACCTGTTTAATTTTTTCATAAATAAGGTTTTTTTATTTTATTTATTTTTTTTTCCGAGGCTATAATAAAAATACACTACTAATGAATGAGGCAATTTGTTAATTTACTCTAATTGGTACTTATACCTCGCTTATTGTTGCATTAAATGTATAACCTGCTAAAAAAATGTAGCATTTAAATTGGAAACACCTCTGAAAAATTCTATAAGGCTCAAAGTATTCGAAATACTACCTTTAAAAAGATTTTCTAATCATAATTTATTTGAAATGACTTCATTAAATGTTAAAAATTAGTTTTAGTTCCCTTATTTTTTAAATTCTGATTAAAATAATAGTTAAAGATAAATTATTTTTAAAAAATGTCATGTATTTAAAATTTTATAATACACAGTCCTCCACACAAACATGCGCACCTTGAAGTCTGAATTTTTTATTTATTTATTTCATTTTGAATAAATTTAATAAACTTTTGCCTAACAAACTCAGTCATTTGAAACCAAGCAGTGGCAAAATTCTTTGAAATTAAATAATTTTACCTTTAGTGTGTGAGCCTGTTGCCATTCGGCAATATGTAAGACATTTATTTTTTAATTTTAATTTAAAAACTCAGCTATTGAAAAGTAATGTGTCATCACTGCCTAAAATAAAATACTCTTATCTTCCATGCTTCACATGTTGCATTCAGTAAAGAATATTTCAAATTTAATTTGCCTGTACTTGAGTAACTATGCAACTTAAAAGCATCAGTTCATAAGAATATTTTTTTCAAATTTTTAAACCTGAATTGATTTAAATGCAAATTCATTCAAATCATGAGATGTCTAATTATAAATATTAAATATTTTAGTGAAATTACACTAGCTAAACTCATTAAAATAATAATATACTTTTTGTACTTTATAATATCTATTTTATCATTTTTACCCGGCTGCGCAAATACTAGTTAAATAAAAATATCAAATATCCCTATTTTCAGTAACAGTATCAATATTTACAATAGCAATTTAAGACCTTTTTATACATTTTCGATAAACATAGAAAAAAAAAATATTCAACTAATTTGAACAAATAAACAAAAGAAATGTTATTAACTTTTACTTCATCTGAGATATTGCTCAACTAACAATACATTAAAAATATTAAATGAAACATTTTTAAATTACAACTTACATTAAAGTCATTTAGCCTTTGAATAAAATGTGGTGCTGATTTCTCTTGAACAGAGACTGAGCCCTCAGATATTGCTTCACCTTCTGGATTTGACAGTTTACACTTATAAACTCCTATATGGTCAGGTGATGATTTTTTAATCTCCAAAATAGCCTATAAAATTTGCACAATATATATAAAACCATATGCTAAGAATATTGAGAGCATTCTTGAATCATGTGATAATACAAAAATTTTCAATTTAAAATCGCAGAAAATTATGTTTATAAATTTTTTAGGAATATGCTTCATATTTAATTAAATGTATAAAAGCTTTTTTTTAATAAAACTGTTATTTGAATAAATTAGCAAAACACTTTAAAGTAATTCATGTAATAAGAAAGTGCTACTATAAAACGTTTTTAGAAATGTTTCATGAAAGTATCATAATTAATAATTACAATATTTTGCATACTGAATAAAGTAGATTTATATAACTAAATTTCAGAGTTGAGTACCTAATCACTTATCAAGGAAATATGTGATATAAAGCAATATCAAACTCTCCCTCACACACACACCACAAAACAACAACAACAAAAATAGTGTTAAACTTCAAATAGCTGCATAATATGTGCACAATTATAATAAACCACGAATAAGATATATGCACAAACAGGGTTTAACGGTAGGCATTTTGTTGCCTAATGCAACCTCTGTGAAACTGAAATTCTACTGCTAGGTGCCTCCATAAGTACTAAAAATTTTACTGCCCAAATTTTGTTGCCCAGTACCTCCATTTTAGGAAAAAGCAGTAGCTATTTCCAGAGCTATCCAGTACTCACCAAAACTTACAGTATATCAGCATTCACACAGACAGCATGCTGGTACCATTTTCCCGACTCAACCATCACCACACATCTCCTAGAGTTACGCAAATCTAGACAGACTTACGGAGGCATCACATTTTAATACCATGCTCTTCTAAGTGTCAGCACATGCTGAGCTGAAAGGCAACACAAATGCTGAATGATTAGCCAAAAAGGCAACATTAGAAAGTATTCCTTATTCACAACCAATACTTTGGTTATGCTTGGAGGGGGGGGGAAAACTGAAACAGGCACAATCAAATGGCAGACAGAGTGGGATGAATGTGAACAATGCCACCATACATGATACTATATTACACAAGCAGATGACAAACACAACATCACTTCCTTGCAGTTACCAAGATTTATTACTTGGCATGATGCCATTTCTGAATATTTTAACAAGACACCGCAGCAGCAACACTGACGTCTATGTCTGTGCAGAAACTGGTATCTCAGGCCATTATGTTACCACCTGCCCCAATTACCAGAAAACATCATATCATCTTAAAATTCCCACTAACAATACAAAAGCCTACTGCAAGTCTATGGTAAAACATTATCATCTGGTAGCAAGGATTCCCCAGATCATCGACAATCTTGCAAAACCGGAGCTGATTTAATCCTAAACCTCATTACAAGTTTTTTTTTTAAATAGGAACACTGCCTAGAGTAAGAATTTAATATTCACTCAGTTTGAAGTTTAGCCCTCGGTACTACTACTGTAATTTAGATGTCCTGCAATATACATTTGCAAAATTCTGCAAAGTTTGTAAAGTGTTGTCTTTGTAAAGCATATTTGTACTGTGTATTATTTTAAGTGTATGTTATGCTATAAAGTAATTTGAGCATCTGAAATAATGTATTAATTAAGTAAATTATGTTATGAGTCACTATAGCAACAATATCTTATGTTACTTGATGTATTGCCTAATGCTACATATGCGGGAATGCGAGACAATACCACCTATTGTGACAGAATGATGGTGTTTCCACCTCTCATCAACTGCTTAGTGCCTACTTTATAAAAACTTAAAGTTTTAATGCTCTTGTGTTTCTTCAAATTCTAAAAATTTTGCTACCTCTAAATTTATGCCACCTGTATTGTGTACAAATTAGTATTGAAAATCCTGATAGTTTATTAATTCAAACTGATACCTTATTGTAATTAATTAAAAACATCTGAAAATCCTTCCACACACCAAATAAAATAAATATGAGATAAGAATAGAAAACTAATATATGAGGTAAAATCACATCTTTTTAGCCTTTTTATTCATCATGTTGACCATACTGCCTTTTTATTCACCAAATATACATAAATCTTCTGGACTCATACTTTTATGCATAGATTATGACATATCAGGTAAACATATAGCCTAGGAAAAATGACATTAAAATCCATATCTTAATCCATTTCACCAATTAAAAACTAAATATAATAATCATTAAAATTATTAAGATATACTTTGGCTAATTTCAGGACAAAAATGAAAAGAAAGAAAGAAAATTAATAAGCTTTCAGCTTAGGTTCACTTGAAGGCACAGTAAAAGTTAATTACTATTTATAATACAGTCAAAAGTCGTTAATCCGGACTCGTCGGGACTTCGGCGATTCCGGATTATAGATCATCGGTTTAAATCTGGTAGGATGGCATGCAGAAATTATAAAATTAAAAATATGAAACCATAATTTATGAAATAAAGAACAATTATGATCTAAAGGGTATCAAAATTTACACACACACACACACACACACACACAACAAAAAAAAAAAAAAAAAAAAAGCTTAATATTTATTTGTTTACTTTATTAAACATTTCTTTCAATGTAAGTTGTTTAAGTTGCTTAGTTTTTTATGTGATAATACTCTTTAATTCTATAAACAGACATCATTTCTTGTTCAGTTACAAAGTTCCGCTGTTCAAGTCCTATAATTGCTGTGTCGAGAATACCGACTAATTTGTCAATCACAATTTTTTCGTTTTGAATAACCTTGTCACTTTCTTCGCTACTGGAAGCGAATTATAATGACGAGGAATTTGATTTAAATCATATCAAAGGTGGAGTACATCGAGATGAAATACTACATTTAGTAAGGAATTATAAACCAAATAAAATAAAAACATCTGCCCTGAAGATAAGGATAGTGCTGAGAGATCAACTTCCAATTTATTGCGCGCCGTGGCGTCCCCACCCTCCCTGCCGCAGAACAGCGTGAAATTGATAAACAGATTTCGAAATGGTTAGATAAACAAAGGATATGCCTTTATCCATTTTTTGCAGCAATTCCACTTTTTGTTTAATGGAAACATACTTTCGCTTTGTAGATCCTTTACATATTAGTAAATATATATCGGAAATTCTATTTGACATAATGGAAAGTTCAAGCTTACTTTTATAAAATTTCTCTAACAGTTCGCAAAAATAATAAGCCGGATCCAATTCAAAGATTAAGGAACAACGCAATCTGCAATATTAACTGAATTAGATAATTTTAGCTGAGCTTATACCATCCGTTATACGTTAAACGCGTATGCGTACACGTATTTTGTGTATGCGCACACGTATATTCGCAGTCGTAAAGGTCTTACACGCATGCGCAGAAAGTTTGTAGCTTTGAAGTCTGGATTATAGATCATTTCAGATTATGGGTGTCCGAATTAACGACTTTTGACTGTAGTAGAATTTTTTATTTGAAAGGAAACTATTAAATTTATGAATAAAATAAAAACATCTAAATAAAGACATCCTGTTTCAGAAAATACAGATAACAAATTACAAAAAGTAAATTAGTTTTCAGAAATGCTGTCACAAATATAGAGTCATCCTGTTGAACATAAATACTATATGTTAAATATTTAGCATTCACACTCACCTTTTCACCATCAAAAGTCATCAGAACATTGTCAGAAGGCTGCAATGCCTCATCATTTACAATCCAGATGATATCTGGGAGAGGATTTCCAGACACCTTTGCCTTGAGTTGTATTGGTTCACCTTCCTTGACAGACAAATTTCCAATAGGAGAAACAAAGCAAGGTGAAGATTTTGGAGTATCAGATGAATCTTTACCTGCAATAACAATTTTTATTTTAATAATTTCACCTTTTTTGCTCCCCCCAGAAGAATCTCTATTTCATGGTACTTAGATTTCAAAATCTCTCTCCCCCCCTTTTTTTAAATGAATCTTTTGTATAAACATGAGCATGTATTAAACAGGATAGTCAAAAAAAAAGTTGGCTAAGACTTGTATATGCTATTTTTTGTCACCCGTTTCAAGTTACAATGATTCGCAAAATTAGGTACAGAGTTTTATGAAACTCAGGTCTAAGAGCAAGAAGGTTTATACAAATTTTATTCTTCAACTGATGATCAATTAAAAGTTCCTATAGAGCAAAAAATCCTAATAATAAAATGTCTATAATCTTTTTCTGTAATAAATATAAAAAGTTCCATAAATTCGCAAGATATTCATAATTGAAATTTTTAAAAGCAAAAAAATCAATAAAAAGTGCTGTTTTATACAATTTGGAGTCATCAATCACTAACACAAACAACTTTTGCATTTTAGTTTCTGCCTAAATCTGAGACAAAAATACTTAGATCTGCATATAATAAGCACTGAATAGTGATCTAGGTCAGCAAATTTCTTTCTTTTCTTTTCTTTTCTTTTTTTTTTTTTTTTTTTTTTTACAACTACAAAAATTCTTCCGATCATTTTGCATACAACTTTCAGCATAAGCAGATGATTGCCTGCTTACTTCCTCAGCTGTATTTCAAATGTTGTCCTTTTAAAATTTTCTATGCCTTTGTTTCCACTCTTCTTTTTACTTTTCTCTTAATTTCATCAGAGGTTACAATATGCCTCTAGGAAGAATGAAACAGAATAATACATTTGGCTGCAGAAATATGCAGGGAATGTGCAAAAGCTCAAATAAAACTAAGTAAACTAATAGTTTTAAACACACAATTTTCAAATCTCAATATTAAATTTTACATTTATACTATTTGTGTCAATCCTCAAGAAAGACACTCTTACCATTAGGTAAAAATTGATTTTTGTACCTTGGTAGAAAAAGAACAAATGTCTAATTAGGAAGGTTCAGAGGAAAATAGTCTTCTTTTGAAAAGGTTTTAAGACATATGTGTAGAATTCAATTCTATAGAACTTGGAGATATTATGGAAATGAAAAAAAAAACAATTAATATATACAAAAGTTAGACATATGCAAAACACTGTCAAAATACAATAGTTCAGTACACTCAGGATTTTAGCGATGCTAGATTATCAAATGTGGCAGATTACCTGTTGCTGAAAACTATTTTTCTTTTATGATGTTAAATGTTTTAATGAATGAAAAAAAGTTTGCATTTAGCAATTCTACAAATATGTTTCTACAAACCTTATTAATAAATAAATGTATCCACTGTTTAATCATACTCACCTAGTTTTTACTTTGAAATCATCATTACAATATCACAACTTAATTCTTTAACAAATGGTTTATTTTATCATTTTCAACAAATTCAATAGTTTCATTTTCTGAAGATATGATCAATGGATTGTTCGACAGAAGAGTTTCAATCATTTCCACTAACTCAGGGTGATTGATCATTATGGATCATCAGTACTTTTGCCATCTTTGATAGAATTTTGCTTTATGGCACATTTGGATTTTTACCACGCCTTTTGTAACATTATGGCAGGGGTTTCAACCATGAGTGAATTTCATAGTTTCAGGAAGGAGGATGCGGTCAGCCTTTTATTTAGTTGTGAAGAGTTTAGTTTTGAGTTTAGTTTTAGTTTATGAATATAAAAAGTTACTTTTCTTCAAGTTTTGGTACTTACAAACATTTTCTGCACTATGTCTAAATAAATGCATATATGTATTTTTCAAGTTTTGTAAAGGACCCGGCGGTGGTGGAGGAACTGATTTTCTAGTTATGGTGAAAGGTATGCATGAGACAAAAAAGTTGAGAACTACTGCATTATACTATTTGCACATTATCAAGCAATAACAGCCATGGAAATTGTACCTTTTATATGGAAATAAACTAAGATGTCCTCAGTGCAATAATCAGAGTTTAATAAATTTTGAGCATATTGCTATATTTAACATTTTTAAAACTCCATGATCCATTAGGCTGGACAAAAGTGTTACAGTTCGTGGAAGGTATGTTCCCATAAAGTTTATAATACAAATTCAAAGGTTGTAAGATATGCTCTATAATTAACCAAAAGTAGAATGGCTTTAGAATTGTTCAGTAGATCAAGCTTTACAAAATCATTTCTAACAGTTTGTACAAAGTGGTGGGAAAAGCCAGTCTTTGAATAGCTTTCATTCAAGCATTTGAATGAGCTTCATAAATTACAAACAAATCAACAAGACCTATAAATGAACTGGACTTTTTTATTTCCAGTTTTATTAACCCCAGAAGCATCATTTGCATAAAATAAAATAGCCAATCTCTCCTTATTCAATCTAAAATCTTTTGCTCATTTTTCTTCGATGTACGGTAATGTAGAATTTGACAAAGCCATAAAAAGTAGCCTCATCAGCATTATATACTTAATAAGGGAATAAATTATTCTAAGTCACATCATCACAAGTTCATTTCAAACTTTATAGTACTTTGTTTTATTCCCATAGACAGAGTGCTAGCTTACTTAAATAGTCACTTACCTAATAGAGTCTGAAGGGCATTAAAGTTAGTATTGCACAAGTAGCAAAAGGCTTAAATTTTATCATTTTGGAAACTGATTCGTTACTGATCAAGATAAAGAATTATTTCTTATTAAGTTACACAAATATTAGTTAGATCAAGTACATATACATATGAAAAAGCATTTATTTAAGTTTTTCATACCTGATACAGTTAAGGTTCCACTAGTTGAATTTTCTCCAAGAGGATTTTTTGCTGTCAATGAATAATTCCCAATATCTTCAGGTTTGCAATCATCAATAAGCAAAGCAACTGTTCCATCAGGACTTCTAATTTCTTTCAAATGGATACTATCAGGAACTATTTCTTCTCCATCTTTAAGCCTAGTAAAAATGTCAGTATTTCAGTACAGTTCTTAATCACCTATTAACTTGATTAACAATGTATACTAGCTTATTTGCTGTTTTTACACATAAATTTGTTTTCATTATGTATTTATTCTATAAATATTGTTTCATTTAAGAATTTATACATATATTTCAAGTTAACAAAAATAACTAAATTTCAAGCAAGATTATGAAGAATAAAATTTATTTTTCAATCAAAGCATTTTAAAAATATGGTATTTATTCTGCTCATCAGTTTTCCAAATTCTTAAATTAAAAAAAAAAAAAAAAAAAAATTCTTTAAAACATATCACCAGACTTCTTTTTTTGCTATTTCCTCAAACACAGAGAACTCAGATTTTGTAATAGTTTCTCAGCATTTGAGAAAAAGCTAAGATAATATAAAAGCAGTAATAAATTATATGTAGAACGAAATGATCTTTATTTTATCTTTATTTCACAAAATAAACTATTAATTCTTTATTCGAAGAAATATTAAATTCAACTGATCATTTTGAAGACTTTATACAGACACAGGAGACTAACGTTTGATAAATTCTTACAGGCTCTAAACAAAAAGGACATATGAAAATCTAATACAAATGTTAAAAAAAAAGTAGCTAAACTTTCTTTTGTTTTAAAAAAAAAGACATGATACATTTTAATTTAAAATTCTTGGATGAAAGAAGAAATCTTTCTGAATAAGAATTTGAATAAATAGAAATATGTATTCCTTTTGTAAAGTAGATAAGAGTAATTAGAATGCCTTTGGATGGCAAATTTCAATTATACAGTATTACAATTTTTATGTTCATAGTGGAATAAAGTAACTGGACAGTGAACTGAAAATAGAAAACTGGATAAAAGCACTGCTTTCCAAAGTTTTTTTTTAATTTTATTTTATTTTTTTTAGAGGAAGAGGTAAATTTCACATTATTGATTTATATGGTAAATGTAAAAGACTGCTACTACTACTACTACAAAAAAAAAAATGTATCAGATTTTAAATTACATCCAAAGGGGCATTTTCTTTTTAACATTTTGTGTTACCTATATGTTTATTAAATATCATGTTCTTCGCACTTAAACCATAAAATTCAGTTCAAGAGCAATATAGCAAAATAATTTTAAATTGAGTATATCTTTAGAATTTCCGATACACAGTCTCACGCGCTTGAAATAAAAAATGCTTTTTTTTTTTTTTTTTTTTTTTTTTTTTTTTTTTTTGGTACAATGTTGCCATTGCTCGCTTTGAAATCCTTGAGTTTGTTAATCAAAAATTCGTTAAAGTCTTACAAAATATTAAATCAATAATAAAACAAATTCCAAATTTCAAATTTGGGCTTCCACATGCCCATATTCATAGGAGGATTACGTCATTCAAAATTCGATGGCTCTATGTACCGTTGTTTTATCACACTGCGAGAAATATACATACATTTATTCAGATTTTTCATTATTCAATTTCTTCAAATATAATGGAGGACTCTAACATTTGGTGGCAACAGTTTGAAAAGTAAAATGGACATTTATAGTGAACCAACGCAAAATCGCAAAAAGAAAACAATAGTCCTTCAGGGCAAATTGTCCCTTTGGACTAAAAAGAAAAGTTCATTCATTATTTTTAAGAAAACACGAAGATAAATACAGATCAATATCTTTTAGTCTATGCCCTTATAAATAATGTTTGAAAAGTACTGTGTTTTCATACAGCAAGCGCAAGATTGGCATTTCTGACTGAATTTGAAAGTGCATTAATTTTTTTAAATTGTAATAAAAATAACAATGGTTTGATAACCAGATACACTATTTTAAATACAAAAATCAGTAAAAATGAAAAATTACAAAACAATTAATAACCACAAAAAATGTGAATGGCTGAAAATATAATCAGTAAATTCAATGATATTTTGAAAGTCAATTTGCTAACATTTTAAAAATAATGGTAAACACAATTAAATATATCTTTGATTAAGTTAATTAGCTTAATTAAATCTTCTAGCTGAATAGAGCATTAAATTTTAAACAGATTGCAAATGGTAAAGCTTTTATTATCAATTTAAAGTAAAAATAGTACTACTAAAATTTTCACATATTTAGTGCAACAATGGTAATTATTTTTTAAATAAAAATATTATTTTTAAGCGAATGAAATATACTTATTATACACTTATTTTGCACATTAAAGAGTTAATTTCCTCTATTAGCTATATTCAAAATTTTAACCATATTTCCTTCCCTGTTAGGTAATTTTTACTGATGTCTTTAACAGTTTATTAGCAATCTTCAAAATTTTAATTCTGTTTCTCAATTGCATAAAAGTACATTAACAAGCTTTTACATCTAATATGCTTATATTTTTTAACAACCTCAGATGTATAAATGGAAAAATATAATTTGAGCAACAGCTGTAGAAAATAGAATTAATTGAAAAAAAAAAGTATTTCCAATGAATAATTGTCAGGAAATCTAAATAAACTATAAAAATAATTTACTATTTTTAAGACTAAACAAATTTTTAAAACCTTTGATGCAGGTATAAAACACTATAGTAATTATATTAGCATAAAATTATTATCTTAGATGATCTAAGATTTATTTACCTTAGATGTCACAGAAAAATTATAGTATAATTGAATAATTAAACTAACTCTACTCGATTCCTTGCATAAAACTAATAGTCACTGTTTTAAAATTTGTAAAATTTTTGTTATATCTCATTTCAAGAGAGTCATATTTTATTTCAAAAAGAGAATTTAATTTTTTTTTAGAAAAGCTATAATTAAGAAATCCATCACAAATTTATAATAATTTTTAACAATAAAAATTCAAATACTACACAGTCTCATGTAAATAAAAGTGAAACGTTTCATATATATATTAGAAAAACACTTCGATGTTGTTCAATGTATTGGGGCTAAATTTGGCATGCATATTCAATAACCTAAAAAAATTATTCTTGGAGTTTCTGTCTTTAAAACCACTGCTTAAGCTGAGGATTTGTATAAGCAATATTGCTTAGCAACATCCATGAATTTTAAGAACGACAACAAAAATTAGTTTGCAATGAATTTACAGAATATTTATTAATAATATTACTAATTTATGTTCTTACATTTATTGTGCAGCAAAGGTGAAAATTAGAAATATTACTTAAAAATAACATAATTGAGAAATAATCAGCGATTTAATCATAATTTATATTTTAAAGAAACTGGAAGAAATCTAACAATAATTTACAAACAGAAGTAATTAAAGATTTTAAGATTTAAATAATTGATGGACAGAAAATCAGAAATTATAAGGTTGAAATGAGATATAACAAAAATTTTACAAATTTAAAATCAGTGACTATTAGTTTTATGCAAGGAATCAAGTAGAGTTAGTTTAATTATTCAATTATACTATAATTATTCTGTGACATCTAAGGTAAATAAATCTTAGATCATCTAAGATAATAATTTTATGCTAATATAATTACTATAGTGTTTTATACCTGCATTAAAGGTTTTAAAAATTTGTTTAGTCTTAAAAATAGTAAATTATTTTTATAGTTTATTTAGATCTCCTGACAATTATTCATTGGAAATACTTTTTTTTTTCAATTCTGTTACCGTTCTTTTTTCATTGGTATTACCATAAAATACATACATAGACAATCATAGCTTTCAAAAAGCAAGAATTTTAAAACATTAGTCATGGGCACAAAAAATATACAAGCAGAGTATGAATGTTTGCCTTTCTATTGGCTTTGATGATTGAAAGATTGCGTTTAAGAAGTGACTTCGAAGAATTACTTAATTTGAATTCAAAAAAAAAAAAAAAAAAAAAAGAGAGAGAGAGAGAGAGAGAAACTACAAAGAGATACATTTTCTATAATTTTTGTTTGATATTTATTATAATAAGCTTCAATATACATTTTAAAACATTTAAAAAATTTCCAGAAAATTCTACACATTTTAGAATGTCTGAAATGTTTTTTAAATCAGCCTAATGAATATTGCAGTGCTTTTCAATTTAACGTGATATGTGCTTTTTATGTACATTCAAGAAAACTGTCAAAAGTTCTTCCTAACATCCTCTAGTGCTTCATATTAATATTCTGATGAACCTTTTTTTTTTTTTTTTTTTTTTTTTTTGCTAAGAAATTTTAAGAAATATCAGGATGCTAGTTAGTAGTAGTATCCACAACTGAGGCAGTCAAATATTATGTGATAATGAATAGCAGTATCCACTACTCATTATCACACAATATTTGACTGCCTGTTAGCCAATTTATGCAGCTTATATTTTAACTCACAACTATACATATATAAGAAAGAAGGAAAATGAAAATTTTTTAATTATACAGATTTATTCCTTAAAAACGGAATAACTAATTTTTGACATTACTGCAATAAATTATGTCAAAAAGTGTCAAATGACACTTTTTGAACAAAAAAACAAAAGCATTGTGTTTTTGTTTTGAATATTTTTATCTTTTTTGTTCAGAATACTTTTATTTTATTATGTTTTCAAATTATTTATCTTAGAACATCTTTCTTCCTTGTGCCTACCTCCTACAAATTCAAAGCTTTCAATAAATTAATATGAATAAAATTTCACATGATATTTGAACTGAATTTTCTTCTCTTTCAGTTATATGCAGAAAATAAAGTCTAAATATTTTTATTAAGAAGATATATGAAAATGGAAGACATTACTTGCTGAAATAAAAACATAAAATAAACAGAAGAAGATATGAGCATTACCATTTAATTTCTGGTGGAGGAGAACCAGACAGTATAGCCTCCAGTTTTGCTGGATAACCTTCAATAACTTTAACAGGTTCTAATTGTTTTTGGAATGTAGGTGCCTCTGAAAAACAAAATTATGTGAATCAGCACATTATTATTGACAATTAACAAATAATAAATGCACTGTTTTTTTTTTTTTTTTTTTTTTTTTTTTTTTTATGTATACGAATTCCTATTCACTTTAATAAACTTAGATTTTTGGCTAATCCAAAATCAAGAAGAAACCTCTTATTTGTTACATTAGATTAGACCTTTAAAATATTTTAATCAAAAGCAATAAATCATAACTCACTCTCTGATAATTAGTCATTGGCTTATATATTTTACTGCAAGTGATTATTTTCATCAGGAAAAGCAAATTCATTTAAAGCCTCTTTCTTGAAAGAAAAAAAAAGAACATGGCAAGCCAGGACTGATTAAGAAAATTTGAGAGTCTAGGTATACTGTTCTTCCTGAGACTATCAATGTTCACTTTCCTTATGAAAGAAAAACAGAGCTATAAGAAGTTATTGAATGATTTTGGGACACAAGACCCTGATGGCAGGGCAAAAAGGATCAAAATCAGTCTACAATATTTGGAAACTATGCTTATTAATAAAGCATTTCTGCTCCTCAGAAGAACAGGAAACGATTTTTAAAACATGTAGCAACTAAAAGCAACAATTAGTAATTTTAAAAAGGAGGATTTAATAAGATTCATAGGTTACCATATTATCTCAGTTGCTGTCAATGCATCATTTAAGATGTGTGCTGCATCGGTAGCAGACATTATGTTATTAATTTGAATACTTATCACGAGCATTTTATTTGGTAAAGAACTAATGATTATCTTTCTCTGTATATTTGCCTACATACAACATATAAAATGAAGCACTATATTATGTTTCATAGTTTGTATTCCTTTATAGAAAAAATATAGTAAATATTATGCATAAAAAAGATCATCATAAAAAATAACAGTATAAGAAGAGAGTGTAAAATGCAATTTATATATCTTAAGAACATTTAAGAAAATTATACATATGAAGGTTTGTTATCATGATCCCAGCTATGAATGCAACAGATAATTTCTAGTCATCACACAGAGGGATAAAAACTTTTAAACTTGCACAGCACAGAGAGTTTGGAATTGCACTGAAGAAACAAATCTGTGCAATGTGAACACCTCCATTAGGATTCCCAACTCTGTGAAGTCACAACAAAGAGCACTACAAAATATATTTATATTAATTCCTTTTTATTATTATTATTGCATATTGTTGAAATGCCTTTTTAGAATTAATGTTTATGAGAATAAACAATTTTTTAAAGCTTGAAAAACGAATATAAAAAGTTTTTAGGGCAGTAATTTGGGTAATTATACATTGACTCATTTAAACAAAAAAGATGCATTATTAGAATAGCCATTAGAATTTAATTAAAGAATGTTAATTCAAAAAAGTAGAAAAACTTTAAAAAAATTTGAAATTTTTAAAACTAAAATAAACTTCTAATTTTTAAAATTACATTTGATCTGATTTTCGACAGACTTGAGGAAATCTGAATAGTGTTTTACTTTTTTGGCAAATTCTGAACAAATTTCTTTCAAATTAAAATATATAAATAATTTATTTTTATAAATTTAACCGAACACTTATCTTGTTAATTTCACCATTTAGTTGACATGACACTGCAAATTCTTTCACAATATGCTGATGTTATAGGAATTGAAAATATTCATACATTTATAATAAGCATTTTTAAAATTCAATGTCATTTGTTACCTAACATTTTGGATCTCGTATTTTTTTTTTTTTTTAATTAATGTTCCTTCATCAAAAGAGGCATAAATTTCTGGTATATTGGAAATAAATTACTTAATATATTTAGAATTGACAATTTGATAAAATTTTCATCGAAGTATTCTAAAATGTAATTGTTGAAAAAAGAAATTATTTAGTTTTAATAATCTTTGATATTCTGCATTGTCTAATAGTTTAAATGCTGATGAACTTCAAAGCCCCCCCCCAAAAAAAATCTCATCATAATTAAGACTTAAGCTTATTTTGTAAGTTGATCAAAACACTGAACATATGCACACCAAACTTTAATTTTTTGTCTCTAGTTCTTCAATAGTTAAGTGGAATATTGACATTAAACAGTGTTTCTCAACCTGATTTACTCGTAGCACTGGTAAAATATTTGTGTTTTATTGCGGATTGGTACGGACTAGTGAACAGAGTTTGTGGATTGGCGGTTGAGAAACTCTGGTTTAGAATAATCAGTTGGTCTGCTTAAGAAATGAAAACATAAAGGGATTTTTGATTTCAAAATACAGGACATTTGGCACTTTTTCTGAACTCAAAAAAGGACAAGGACAGGAAAGTTTATTTAAAGAACTGTCCTTTTCAAAAAAGGATGGTTAGTATTCCTAGTCCCCAGATATAATAGCTTACTGCATTTGCATGCATTATTAATAAATTCAGCAGTTGCCTCAGCATTCAGATTGTGACATAATATATCAACTTTCCTGTTTACATTAAAAAAATTATATGATTTATTTACCAGTCATAATCTTTAATATCTGCTAAACTTTGTACTATTATTTGTTAAACTTTCACCATATTTTGTACCATTTTTCATAAAGTAAAATAGAGAACAATGATTTTCAATTTTACTTTAATAATGGAAATGCATAATCAATGACAATGCATCTTTAGTGAGAAACAATGCACTTAAATAATAAATTGCAATCAGTTATAAATATCAACTTATAGTTGAAATTAGTCTCCTATACACAATATGTAAAACAAAAAACATAAAAATTTTACATTTATAGCTAATATGAGATTAATGCACGAATATAAAATTGATCATAGTGTACTTTTAATGTGGTAACTGCTGACAGTTTCTAAAGTATTATTCTCTCTCTAGTTATGTACAGATTCCTAAAATATACATGAATGAATGCTATAAAAGTTTTAAGGACCTTTTTTCTTCCATTTAACCTAAAATTCCACAAACAAATTGTTGTTGACTATACTTTATCTAATAAAAAGCCAATTAGTTTTTTTTTTAAATTTAATTTAGTAAGAAAAAATTATTCATTTTCTCTACACAAACCCACTTTAGTTTTAAATTAGTGTATGAACTGGGAATGCCTAAAATCCCTGAATGGTACTACAGAAACATTCATAAAACATAAAAAATAACTAATTAAAAATGAAATTTATATAAAAAAAGGGAAAGTAAATATAATGAAAATGTTAAAATCAATACAAATATAAGTGTTTCATATGACAGGCTCATCAAAGTACAAAGGATAGACTACAAACCCTGGGTAGTATATGATAGATAGCAAAAAATTCTCAGAAAAGAAATAATACCAAAAATTCACCAGTTTATAATTTAGTAGCAGTATACCCATTCCTCACACCTGGAGGGGGGAACTAGTTTCAAAAGAATATAAAACAAAAAGTGAATAGAACATAAACAGAGAGAAGCATCTGAACAAGCATTAATGACATATAAAAGCAAAAAAATCTAGCCAATATTCTTTCATTAATACTGAGATAAACTTATCCACTTGACACAGTACTGGGTGCACAGCATGTGTACAAAAATTGTCTTTTTGATTTTAATGACAACAAAACTGCAATACAGGCTTTGTTGATTAGCAAAATTTAAAAATATTTTATCATATAACACTAACAGAACATTTTGAGAATTCATATAAAATTTAAATGACTAATATAATTTCATGAATTTACCTTTGCCTAACATTTAAAAATTTTAATTCTGAGTAAACTGCAAAAATATGCCAAAAATACTTTTCACTTAAAAAGAGATCCCAATCAGCACACAAACACATAAACATTATTTTCCCAACATTTTATATTATTCTATATAACAGAGCGCAAGAAGTCAATCTTTCAAATAACAATTAAGAACTGATATTTTGGAAAATATTTTTCTCAGTTATAGAGGGGTAGAAAAGAATACTCACGTTCAATCACTACAGGAGCAGAACTTTTCACTTCACCCTGAGAATTCTGTGCAATAAATGTGTAATTTCCAGCATCTTCTGGTCTTGCATTTTTTATAATAAGAGCAACAGTTCCATCTGGTTCTTCAATACATTCTACACGATTAGTTGGCCTCAGTTCTTTACCATTCTTTAGCCTAGAAAATAATTTACTTTGAGATTCAAAACTGATTACTTTTAACCAATGACACATTTTCTATCCAGACAATGGTTAACACGTTGAATGTCATGGGGATCACTAGTGGCCAACTTGGCTACAGCATTGTGGGGGGCAGTGATGACTGGTGCCATGATCAATAGAAAAAATACATAATTATAGTAAATATCGATACTGATAAATTTTTAAATAATAACCATTGTTACTACAATGGTTTGAAAAATAATAAATCGTAAAAATTTAAATAATAAATTGCAAAAATGGCCTACAGCATCTCGGGGGGTCACTGGTGATCCCCCACCATGAAAAAGGGATTAAACACAATTATATAACTCACTTTATCTTCTGTAGATAATACACTGCCCTCCAAAAGTTAAGGGATAGCACATTTTTCAAAGCTCACCATTACAAAAATGTGAGTATCGTTTAAATTTACAGTTCATATGCATGAGAGTAATGAAGTTTAAGAAAATATGCGCAAAAATAATAACTACCATACTTATTTTATAGAAATGAATACTTATGTAGGAGTTGGAGAAAAAATGCAAAAATTGTAATTTTTGTTTTTGAGTGTTGATCTTCAGTTGTTATTATGACAATATCCAGCAGAATCTATCACTGTCCAGAGAAATCATTTGCCCGAATCACTGAGGTAGCGGACAATCGAATGGATGGAAATGGGGATATAGCAAGTTGACGCTGCTAGAAGTCTCAATGTCTCTTGTAGTGTGGTCTACCAACTATGGAATCAGTTTGAATCCGAGGAATCTGTGTCAAAGACCTGTTCCAGGCAGACCTACAGTTACAATACCTGTGGGAAACTGTTATTTAGCTCTTTCAGCATGAAGGAGAAGTAACATTACTGTGCCTCAGCTCATGGCAGATCATTTAGTGGCAACAGGAACAAGAATCTCAGCTACTACAGTGCACAGGCACCTACACAACACAGGTCTGTATGCAAGGTGACCAGCTGTTTGTGTCTCCTTTGACCCGAGGACAGAGAGGAGTTCATTTATGTTGGGCAAGAGAACACATCTCCTAGACCAGTCAACAATGGGCATCTGTTCTCTTCCCAGACAAGTCCAGGTTCACACCGGAGAGTGATTCAAGTCGTCAGCTGATCTGGATGGAACAACGTGCCAGATAACCAATCCAACATTGTGGAAAGACACATTTATAAAGGTGGTGGAATAATGGTTTGGGCTGGGATCTCTTGGTGGTCACACTGACCTACATGTGATCCATGGAGGAACTTTGATCGATGTGAGCTATTGAGACGAGATCCTTGATCAATATGTCTTCCTGTATGCTGCTGCTAATGGTCCTGGATTTCTTCTGATTAACGACAATGTGCAATTGCACCAAGCTCGAGTTGCTGAAAAATAGCTTGAGGGTCACAGTATGGAGCAGACAGAATGGCCAGCTCAATTCCCAGACCTGAATTTGATAGAGTACCTTTGGGACTAACTTGGAAGACAGGTTGCTGCTTAAGTCCTCCTCCAAGGTCGTTAGATGAGCTTGAACTAGGATTACTGTGTCTGGTCATTGCTCCCCATTTCACTGATTGACAGCTTAATTGACAGCATGGAACATTGCTGCTTCCAATATATTGCAGCTAGGAGTGGACACATTCATATTAGGACCCCTTTTTGTAATGTTACCACCCCATTTTTCCTCAAAAAAGTGATATACTGTTTCTCCAAGATGGGATTTCTCTGCCAAGAGTGCAATTTGTTTTGTTGTAATTCATGCTTGTGTTGAACTTTAGAAAAATTCTATGTCACATTCATTAAAGAGCTGTTTAGTGGCATGTCCTGTAAATTTCTTGTTTCTATGTTGCTTCATTCTCAAATTAGACACAAAAAACATCCTGTTCCTTAACTTTTGGAGGGCAGTGTATTTCAACATAATATACATCACATAATAAAAAAAAATTCCTGTTGGTAAACCATTTAAAATGTGCAAGGCAGTTAACATGTTAAAAACATATCAATGTAAGCATTAAAAAAATTAAAGCCCTTTCAAGCTTATGTATTTGAAGATCAATACCATTTGATTGTTGGCTTAGGTTGTCCAGTAGCTTTGACTTTCAGTTGGCCTGTTTCTCCATCTTTCAAAGTTAAAGGTTCCAATGAGGATATAATTTCTGGCTTCTTGACAGCTAGAAATAGTAAAATCACATAAACAGAAGCAAAACTACAAAAAGTATTTAAAAAAATAGAAAGCAATATAAAATGCCACATATATCTTTTATTTTTTATCTATTATCAATTTAATGTGCTTAAAGAGCTCTCCTAATAAGGATTTTGAACTCATTTAGTTTATAATAAATAATATGAATAATATTATGTTAAAACTAAATATTATGTTAATATTATGTTAAACCTCAGAAACAGAATGAAACTTAACTAGTCAATGCCATTTTATTAAAAAAAGTTGAATTATGAGATGCAACAAATTCTATTTTGAATTCGTCAAAGATGCTACAAAAGTTCATTTTATTAATAAAAGTTGAATTATGAAATGCAACAAATTCTATTTTGAATTCTTCAAAGATACTACAAAGGTTATAGGAACAATAAGTGTCTTAAGCTGCAAAGCTGATATATGCCAAAAGACAGTGAGCCAGGTTGGTTATTCATTCACATTCATTATTTAATTCATAATATGAATTCAAACCATAAAATAATTTCATTTAAAATAAAAACATAAAAAGTATTAATTCTTTAATATTTATATTATAGTTTTCCTTAGTTAAATACTTCCTAGCCCAAAAAAGTCATATTTTAATAATTTCTTGGATCACTTTATCATGAAATAAAGAATGCAATGTTATGAAATTATTTCAGAAACTTTATGCAGTCTACCAACAGCCCAAAAAAGTCATATTTTAATAATTTCTTGGATCACTTTATCATGAAATAAAGAATGCAATGTTATGAAATTATTTCAGCAACTTTATGCAGTCTACCAACAGCTGCATCAACAACTCTACAAAATTCTTGTTTGGATGCAAGAAAAGTTAAACCACTTAGATCCTTCTGTAGTATATCCTCAAACAGATTATGATCAGGATTTTGTTGAGGCCAATCTATGTGCACAAACGATGTCCAGTGCCACTCAAATAAAGTTTTCATGATTTTAGCTCAGTCTTGACATTTTTCACCTTATAATACACCTTCAAAGAAGAAAATATCCATTGATGGAACAGAATGATCCATCATTACTCAGCTCAAATATTCAACTGAATTTCACTGCACAGTGTTGCTGACAAGAGCAGTATATAATTTTGTCTCACGGGTTTTACCCAAATTCTGATAGTTATAGAAGATTTTAAAGTAAATAAATGTGTAAAGACAGAGTCATATTCCTAAAAATGACCCAGAAAACTGAAGTTAAAGTTTAAAATTGCATTCATGCTATTTAATTTCTTCTTTTACCAGCAAACAAATAGTAGCCTTAAAAGTATCACATGATTAACCACTATAATATTTTTTTGCATTGCAACTCAGATATCAAATCATTAATTGATTCAATGGTTGCAATTTGGAGAAGTACTTGGGGGGAGGGAAGAAGAAAAAAGCAATTTTTGCATATTTAAATTTTGTTAGAGATTTGGAATGTAAGCAAGAAAATTATCAATAACTAGAACAGTTTTATGGTTCTGTGCCACATTTTTTTTTTGAAAACTTCATATTGAAATCATAATCAATTTCCAAGGATTTAATTCTTCTTTAACATCTTACGATTTTGAGTCTTTCCAACAATATTTATTTCTTTTTAAAGTTTTTGCCATATTTGTCCATACTGCAACAGTAACTCTTAGTTGTGTTTATCTTCTAAGAATTTGTGTTTATCTTCTAAGAATATCTAAGAATTTGTCATTACCGAATGTTAATGTTTTTTTGTACTGAACGTCAGAAAAAATAAACCAGTTATAGAAGGAACTTTATTATCTATCCCTTTTCTTAAAAAACTAAAATTCTAATTTGAAAATATATGCTCCATTACCTGAAACTAAATACTGATGTTATAAAATCTCTTAAAAACAAAAGGACAGTGAATGGACAACATAAAAGAGCACAGTATTTGTCAAATAGATTCTTCTTCTTGTTTTCAAAATTTCACTTTCTTTGCCAAATTGACAGTTATAATGAAATAAAGTTCCTATAGCATATATGCAAAGGTCCTAAATAGCTACATAAATACAGAGCCAGAACAAGAATAAGACAAGTGCCGTAATTGCTTCAGATGAACAACTAGAAGGGGTGGCAAATTAGCTACAAGAAATAAAAAAAAAATAATTAAAAAATATCATGAATGTCAATTCTCAACTCTAAAACACATCAAGAAGCACTGTTTAACTAACATAGTAAAATTGATTTTCATTTGCAATAATGAGCTTCACATACTAAAACTGCCACAGAAATATCATATTGCTAACATCTGTAATTTTCCTCTGTTTCTTTTTAATCTGAAATGTAGTTTTCGGCACTTTGGATTGGAATGTAAAGTGAAAAGGTGAGACAAACTTTATAATTTTTTAGCTCTTTTGTTATTTATAATAAAACAATAAATTGGCTCTGTCAATGGTTGAGGGTTTAAGATCATGTAATACTGGTAGTTTCATAATACACTCAATATTGATAGTTTGGTAGTTAGTTATACTGGTAGTTTTCAGCACTAAAGCTGCAGAGGACACAGTGAGCCTTAAACTGCTACCAAAAGCAAGAAATACAAAATTCTGTATGCAGAAAACAAACAATTTGAATACTTCAATTTGTGCACATCTTTTCTAAGAATAAGCATGTATCTATCTTCGACTCACTGAAGACTTTTATTCATAATTGTACCAAATTTGATTAGAAATTTTATAATTTTTTTAATTACTTTATGTAAAACTGAAGTACTTTCCCCTCCTTGAATTAGAAAATTTTGAAAAATTAGCACTGAATAAAGCAAAGAACCATTCTATTACCTGCAACCAAATTTTTTTTTTTTTTTCTTTCTAAAATTTCTCCTAGTAAATCCTTTTTTGATCAGCATTTTTATTTTTATAATTTAATTTTATAATTATTTCAGTTAACAGTAATTTTTAATGTATCTTTGACCTTTTCCTGTATGGCAAAATAGAAGAAACATTATTCCAATCTCTCAAAGTCAACATAACCAAAATGAAGAATCCGTGAAATTTGAGTATGAAAATTACAAATGCTGCAGTATCTTATGGTTATATAATTTTTGAGAGTAATAAGTCATTGAAAACATCTGATAATTATTACTTTAGGAATAACAAAATTCAGAATGCCAGCAGGAGAATACCTAGCTTCAAAAATGAATAATATTCATATGATCTATATTTCTCTCCTTCAACATTTTAATCTAAATTTTATTACCTATAAAATTTCCTCTGATTCATTTATTAAAACTTTAGATGAATTATCCAATCAATTACCTTAAATATTTTTTTGTACATGACTACAGTCTTCTTGGTAAAGATATTTTAAAAATGGTCCATCATATTTTCACAATGCTTTCTATCCTCCACCGGGTGTTTGTGACATTGATACCCCTTTTTTTTAACCATTTTCTATATCCAGTAAATAAGATATCAGTTAAACACTATATATTGATAAATTTTTCAAAAAAAAAGTAATAAAAAGACTACAAAAGAAATATTTTTAGGCCACACACCATTTTTAATAATGCACTACATGTAAGCAGCACAATACAGCAAAAGAAATGGACATAATTAATAACGGAATCTAATCGAAATTACAAATAAAAATTGAGCCAATAGCCACAGATTTATGTGACTACTCATACTGAAACATTAAGGTCAAATTATCACCATTTTATGGATTTGTTAAAACATGCCTAATCAAAAGAGTACACCATTTTAAACTGTTTAATAGTTATAACTGTGTTTTACATTTTTCAACATCTCAAAAAAAAAAAAAAAAAAAAGAAGAAGAAGAAGAAGAAGAGAGAGAGAGAACTGAAATATTCTAACATAACACTCAATAGCTTTTTAAAATGAGTAATAAGGATGTACATTCAGATTAGAATAATGATGAGAATACTGAGACAGATCTAGTAAAACTATCTGAGCAGATTGGATTAATTATGTAAGCAGTGAATGATCTCCATTAAATGTAAAAGAGATTTCTGAATGTCATACCAGTTTGCCAAAGAAATGTCAAACATATGTCACTTCCTGCTTGTAGTTTCTTCAATGGAATCAATAAGTTCAGATACCAATCAATAATCATTAAGAATAATTTATTGGAAATACCAAAGAAAAAGACTGAGGTGGGTGAGAAAAAAGAAAAAACAAAAATTATATCTATTTGCAAATCAAAATAATTTTCATATTCAAATGAGTTTAGTCAGCTATTCTATGGGACATCAAAATTACACCATCGATTTTACAGCCATAGTACTGCAGCATTAACTTGCAGCTGCACCCCAGTTTTGAAGAACACCCCAGGAGGCAGTCCAATGGTCTTTCACCTCTCTTTCTCTGTCACCAACCACACAAGAGGACTTTAGGCTTGTAGTGTATTTTGGTTGTCCCCTTGCCACATAGACACTATACATTAAAAACATCTTGCCCTCTCTGGGATTCAAACCCGGGTTCATCAGTATGGCAGTCAGCATCACTAACTACTGTACCATCTGGAAGGCTAAGACTGTGTGCAAGAAATCTGAAAATATCGCTTTTTAAATAATTATGCACTTTTTCCTATTCCAATAGCTAAATTTTGAATACTTTATTTCCAATATTATTATTTTGAAATGTATTTTGCATAAAATAAGCCTAAAAATTTAAGTTTTAAATATGTATCCTTATTTTAACCAAGTCACTGAATCAATAAAGAATGAATCAAAGAAACATATGATTGAAAATCACAGCTAATCTCTCTCTCGTAAAAATGGCAAAAAATTAATGTGGGTTGCAAAGTAAATCTTTGAGATGATCATTTTTGACAGCTTATGAACTTTCACATAACTCTTTTAGAATAACATAAATTTTATTCATGTAATCCATCAATAAATGTATATATTTAGGCTCATCTTCTAAATTCATTTATTTCATAGCTTACTACTATTTCTGCATATAATGTACTATGATAAATTGTTTCTACCATGGAATAAGTGCATACTTTTAAAAGCAAAATAACAAGAAAGCTTTTTTCAAAAGCAAGCATAACTGATTTTAGAATAATCAATGCAACGTCCCCCCCCCCCACAAATTCAGTTAAGCTGTTTTTATAGTAATTAAATTAATTTTACTATTTTGTAGTTCCAGTATGACTACACAGAACTTATTTTAGTGCAAATGGAATTAAATAACATTCCACTCCATCTTTTTGCAAAATAAATTAAACAATATTTTGCTAGTTTATTGCATAAAAAGGATTTGCGAATCTAGTTTTTGCTCATTATGACTATTCTTGGTGTTGCTAAGCACAGATAATCACAAAAATATAATAAAAGTAATTTTAAAACCTTTAACTCAGTTGTGTAAAAGGAGTAATAAGTAGAATTAAGAATATTATTTACTACTGTTACTGAGATTAAAAATTTCATAGTTTTCCAGAAGAAAAAAATAATTATTCACCTATATGGCTTGCAAATAGGAATTTATTTAATGCACTATTTTTAAATATATATTTTTTATTTTAGGATTAAATTGAAACTTACAAACAAAATAAAATATTGAAATATAACAGAAGATTAATAAGAATAATGACTCTTGGACAATTCTTTTGAACATTCTCAGAAATCCACTTCTTGCACTTATCTCTTATGCACTTTCATTCTCTGTCACCAACCGGTATAGTGGTTAGCGTCACTGACTGCTGTGCTGAAAGGCCTGGGTTCGAATCTCGGAGAAGGCATGGATGGATGTTTGTAAATGCATAGTGTCAGAGCAGCATGGCAACACTCTAAATATGCGGCGAGCCAAAAGTCCTCTATTGTGGTTTGGTGGATGGGGAGAGGGGTGGCAGACCCTTGGACCCGTCCCCCCGGGGTGCTGTCCATCAAAGTTGGGGACAGAACTGAGCTAAATCACACTGTTCCCTGAATGGTGCTCAAGGCTGTTGCCAACGACATATGTAATCTAGCACTTCTTGCAACAATTTCATGGGATTTGCCTGACTATGTCAGACAAATGAGCATAAGCAAGAACAACAACAATACTTTCATTCTCCTGAAAATTTTTAGATTTCTCTTCAGTCTAATTTATCTTTTGAGTTTGTGCCAGCATTTCATACTTAACATAACGTTTGTTTTTGAGTAGTTAATGTAGCTCAATATTTGCATTCTGGGGGTAAATGATACACTTTTATTTCATTATCATGATCCAAAAAATGTTTTCATAAAATTATGTCAGTTCTTTGCGATTTGCCGTAAGAATCTTCTTATTATTTATGCTGTTCATCATAATTTCTTCCCCTTTTTTATGTATTTTGATTGATTTACAGCAACTGTAAATTTTAGAAAGCTTATGATAATGAATTCATAAGTACATGCTAATATATGGAAGGAAAAAAATGGGACATGATAAATATGTAAAGAGTACTTTACACTAAGGTTTATATAGCATTGATGCGCTTATACTGCAATTAATTTGTTATGAATTAAGATGCTCCCCTTCACTACGAAATTTATGATGCACCTCAATTATTACTTTTGCAGATATTTTTAACTGTAGCAATAGACAGTGCTAGCTGACAGTTTCATGTCTTGGGCATAAAGATTTGCTAAAGCATTCATCAAGATTCATCAAGTCAGGTATCTCATATTTCTAACATTTTGTAATAGTGTTTAAATTAAAACTTTTCTAAAATACATGTTACACAAGAAGAATCTGGTCTTTAAAATTGAGCAAAACTCCCAAACTCATCTAAATAATTCACATTACGTTTAGAAAAAAAAAAAAAAAAAAAACATTTTTTTTTTTTTTTTTTTTAACATTTAAATTTCACATTGCATATTTGGAACTTCATTTTACATACAGCCATTTATATTCTTAAATTTTATTCTTATATTTCAACACAGTATTCATGAGATTTAAACAATTGTTTCTCATATTTCAATAATAAAATTTATATTCACCTTGAATTTGAACTAAAGCTGCACTTCTTGCTTTTCCCTCAGCATTTGAAGCAATGACAGTATATTTTCCTGCATCATTCTGATTGACCTTGTCAATCATAAGAGCAATTCTACCATCTGATTCTTCAATAATTTTAATATGATCACTTGCTGATATATCTTCTCCATCTTTCTGCCTAAAAAAATTAATTTTTTAATAAATCTAAACATTAAGAATTAAAATCTAAAAAAAGACCAATCACAAGAAAAATTTAAAAACAAGAGTTACAATGAAAAATCAATTTATGTAAAGAGGTATGTGTTAGTTTTGCCACATTATATTTGCTGCCAATCAGCAATCAATAGCCAAGTTTGACTGCATTTACTGCCAAATGATAAATCAAACTCAAAACCATAACCAAAATTAACTAATAAGAATGTGAAATTGTTTAATGTTTTTCATTCATAAGAAATATCCTCGCCACAGTTTAAAATAGCGACAGTTTTCAATTTACCGTCACGTGAGAATGGAGTTATAGAATAATATAAAAACCATTACAATGTATGTATTTAACACCATATTAGCTGCTATTGTCAATTTATGGTATCTAGAAAATATATTTTAACTTCTATTTAAGTAGGAATTATATAGGCCTGTAACCATGCTCTACACTTGATTACAGGAGCTGCGAGTCCACACCTATCAATGTGATGTAATTGTTGACAGGAAATAAACCCTTTTGGGATATTATGAAAATGAGGGCCTTGGTTCTCTATGAAAAGCTTCTGTGAATGGAGGATCTCTACTGGAGGGACTACGTAGTCAAGTCTAGGAAATTAAAAACCAAATATGGATTTATTCAAAAAGTCTTGGGAATGAAGAAAGAGCTTGTGATTTCAGGTAATATACAACTTCTCCTGACAACCGGAAGCCATTTGGAGATGATTAATGTCAAACAAAGGCTAGACCTAGAGGAAACCATTCACAGAAAGAGAGATGTTGCACCGAGCATCTTGAAATGGCTTGCTTTGGAGACCATTGAGGTTAGATATCTCCCTACTCAGTGGCTGCACATTTTTACTCAGTTTGACTGTCCTTTAAAGATTAGGTTTAAAGGTTGTGTTGTAAGGATCTTAAGTTTTACTAACGTTTATTTTATTTTAAATCTTTACTATCACTTCTTATTTTCTACTTCCGGCCAGAATTATAAGCGTGAAGGAGTTTATGCAAAGTTGTCTGGCGAACGCCAAGTATTTAAGTGTGGCCTTTTTGCCAAGCAGAGAGAGGAAGCCGTGAGAGTCGAAGCAGGCCGCTTACCTTAGAAGTTACGCAGTTGCTACTTTGCCTTCCAGGCCAGAGGTTTTAATCCTCTTGATAAATTTTAAACGTATTGTAGTGTTCACAGTTCTCTGTACTACATACGGCTTCCTGTTAATTATAAGGCCAATCTTATTCTAAAGTTAAATTAGAGTTTAGTTTTATTTTATATCTTTTAACGTTAGACCCGAGTGGAGGGTCTTGTATTCCGAAGTACGGAAGTCATTGTATATAAAGAAAAAATAAAGGGTTTTTATACCCTTCGTGTGTATCCTGTCTACTTCCCACAATTAGTGAACATAGCTTTAGTAAGCTCTCTGTTCCGAGTCAGGTCCTTGTATGTTCCCGAAGAAGGTTAGAAGGAAACATTGAACCTGATAGTGGCGCCCGAACGAAGAATAACCATGGCCGAGTTTCAAGAAGAACCTGTGCTGCCTGCAGAAACGGCTCAGAATCCAGAAATGCCAGCTGCCGCCCTGGAAGGATTTGGGTTACATCGTCCAGACCATGCGCGCTTCGATGAAACCAGAAGCAACATTTAATGGAAACTCACCGGTAACCAGTTTTTTGGAAAAATTGGATGACCACTTCATGCTCTACCCCGTGCACGAGTTTCAAAAAGTTACCTTAGCTACCAGCGCTTTGAGGGGCCAAGCGCTTAACTGGTTCAAATGTATAGGCAGAAGTCTCTTGGGTCAAGCAGGAAGTCCCACCTATACTTACGAAAATTTCAAGACTGCCCTACTAAAAGCCTTCCCTGTTGTAAGGGATCGTGCGAAATTAGAAACGGAACTTTTCAGTATATATCAACAAAGAATCGAAAACCTCTCAAGCTTTATTTTAAGAAAAATTCACGTTTTCAAGCTCTTGTATGGAAACCGTCCGGATCCTGAAATAATTCAAGTGATTTTGCCGAGGTTACTGCCCCAAGTGCAAGACTTTATTGAATTAAGAAATCCGACTACACTGGAAAAATTATTTGAGCTAGCAATCCAGTTTGAAAGTAGAAGAACGGCGGACGTCGAAAGAAGACGCCAATATCAACAGCGAAACCAATTTGGTACGCCAAGACTACAGCAAACTCAAGCACATGGCTACGGAAGCAAAGCGAATCAGTGGGCAAGGAAACCCGAGCATTCAAAAACAGCCGGCGAACGTCGACAGTTCAATAGCAACCCAGGAAAAAAGTCTCAAGGCCAGTGGAAAAAGAAGGAAAGCACGGAAATGAAAAATAATTTAAACTAAAACGGATTTCTGCTGACGGGAGGGTGCGGAAATCCGAAGGCCACGAAAACCCCTCTTCCTTCAAGTTAAATACAGTAATGGTGAAAAATTTGACTCTTCCGAAGATTGAAGTCTTGGTGAATAATATCCCAGCCACCGCACTCCTGGATACAGGCGCGCAGTGTTCCTGTGTGGCAGAAGATTTTTTTAGAAAGTATTTTCGCAAATACCGCATATATAATGCGGATAATACAACAGTATTAGCGGCGCAAGGAGAACAATGTAAGTGCGTAGGTAAAGTACCTTTGTACATCCGTATCAAGGACGAACAAGTAAAGGTGATGTTTTTTATAGTAAAGAATCTGCAAGCACACTTATACTTAGGAATAGATTTTCTTTCAGACGCACAAGCAACACTGGATTTTAATGAAGCGTCCTCTTAAGCTGACGATGAAACCAGTTCGTGTAGAAAAGGCTGAACCGCCAAGGTTAAATCTTCGACCACCTGCCTAATGACGAGCAAGATAGAATCCGACAAGTGGTAAGTGAATTTGCTTCGTTATTTAGTGATATTCCAGGATTTACTCAGGTTACTAACCATAGTATTGACACCGGAGATTGCAATTGCCAGTTCGTCAAAAACCATACCGGTATGATAAGAATAAGGAAAAAATTATAGAATGGCATATTACCGATATGCTACGTAAAAAGATCATAACGCCCATCTCAAGTAGTTATGCTAGCCCGGTGGTTTTATGTAAGAAAAATAATGATTATCCTTTGGAGCATCCAAAAAGGTGGAGATTCGCTATTGACTACCGTAAATTAAACTCCATAACGAAATATCCGGTATATCCGTTACCGATTATTAGAAGAAATTCTAAGGAACATAAAATCAACCAAATTTATGACGACTTTAGACTTAACGACTGGTTATTTTCAAATAGGGGATTCAGGCCTGAGGACGTGCCTAAGACTGCTTTTATAACCAAGTCTGGCACTTATGCATTTTTGCGTATGCCGTTTGGCCTTTCAGGCGGCCCGGCAACATTTCAGCGATGCATGGACATTGTGTTAAGACCTGTTTCCGGAAAGTCCACATTTATCTATTTAGACGATATCATTATTACTAGTGATAATCTCGACCAACATGTACAGGATTTAAGACAGGTGTTTTCTTTATTAAATGAGGCCGGTCTAAAAGTTAATGTCGAAAAAGTGCAAATTTGCAGCCCCTGAATTAAAATATTTAGGTTACAAAATATCTCAAAAAGGGATCGAGACAGATGAATCAAAAATAATCGCTGTACAAAAGTATCCGACTCCAAACACGGCAAAGAAGCTCTCTTCTTTTCTAGGACTTTGTTCATATTATAGGTCCTTTATAAAAGATTTTGCAGCTATCGCTGAAGCCATTGTTAAAATTAAAAAGGAAAAAGGCAAGATTCTCGTGGACGGCCGAAGCCAATAGTGCTTTCGAAAAATTAAAAACAAGCATTAACGCAAGCCCCTGTGTTGAAATTTCCTGAAAAGGATGAAATTTAGAAATTTCAGCGGATGCTTCGGATTATGCGGTAGGAGCGGTACTTTCGCAAAATCAGCAGCCCGTGGCATTTTTTAGCCGAACTTTAAATCAAACACAAAGAAACTATTCCGCGACCGAGAGAGAGGCACTTGCAGTTCTGTTAGCAGTGCAAAAGTTCCGAGTCTATTTTGGAAAGGGCGCCGATAACAGTGTATTCTGATCATGCGGCGGTAACTAGATTGTACTCAGGGAAAAAATTTATCCCCAAGGTTAATAAGATGGGCACTCAAGCTACAAGAATATAATCTGGTAATCAAGCATACCCCCGGAAAGGAAAATATCGTAGCAGATGCCCTATCACGAATTAAAATTAGACGAACAGGGTAATACCGTAAAGGTTGCAATGCTCACAGCATGTACAATAAATTCCCGAGAAACTGTAATAACCGAACTGGGTAAGGATCCTGAGTTTGGAAGTATTTATGAGTATTTGAAGGATCCTGAAAATTTTAGCCACCAAGATATTGTGGCGATAAGAAATAGGGCGGCCCATTACGAACTAATAGATGGTCTATTATTTTATACAAAAACTACGAATTCCAACAACGAATTTCGACCTGTTATCCCAGCTAGTCTTAGATTAAATATCCTGCAAGAGCTCCATGACAGCCCTTTAGCTTCTCATGCTGGTATTCGAAAAACTACTCCAACGCGTACGCGAGGCAGTCTACTTTCCTGAACTGCAAAAGTTAACAAGGGCGTATGTCCAGTCCTGCCCAACATGTCAAGCCGTTAATTATATTAATTTCCGCCCGGCCGGGTTTCTAAATAGTATTAAATCCGAATTTCCAAATGAAATAATTGGCATCGATTTATTGGGCCCTTTCCCAAAAAGTCAGTTAAATAAAAGTCGCTATCTCCTTGTTATGGTTGATCATTTTAGTAAATGGACCGAAATTGTTCCCTTAAAACGAGCCTCCGCGAAATTAGTTACTGATTCTATTTTAAATAAATATATTTTAAAATACGGGGCGCCCCTAAAAGTTATATCGGATAATGGTCCTCAATTTGTAAGTAATATATTTGAAGACATGTGCCAAAAACTGGGCATACGTCATTTAAAAATGGTC